CCAGTTATTATCAAGGAAGTGGATAGGCGGACCACGGGGTCTATCTAGCCCCAAAAGGATAGGTGGACCGCGGGGTCTACCTAACAAAATGCTGTTTTAGGATGTGAACCCTGGAATCAGCGTAGTGAAATAAGTAGATCTAGGTTTGACTAAGGATCGGTGGACCCCGGGGTCAACATAGTGAAATAAGTAGATCTCAGTTTATTTTATTGTAAGACTGGCGGAGCCCGTGGTCAACGTAGTGAAATTATAAGTAGATCTAGGTTTAAATTAATAAGGATTGGTGGACCCCTGGGTCAACGTAGTGAAATTATAAGTAGATCTAGGTTTAATTAAGGTTTGGTGGACCCTGGGGTCAACGTAGTGAAATAAGTACATGTAGATCTAGGTTTAATTTTAAGGATTGGTGGACCCAGGAGTCAACGTAGTGAAATAGGAAGGTTTAGGTTTAAGGTGGACCCCAGGGTCTACCTAACGAAATTTAATACTAGTTAGGTTTTAGAATAGGTGGACCATGCGGTCACCGTAGTAAAATAAGTAGGTTTAATCACGGTGTCCCGGGGGTCCACCAATTCTTAATTAAACCTTCTTATTCCTCTACGGCTATGGTGACTCCGGGGTCCACCAATCCTTTTAAAATTAAACCTACTTATTTCACTACGGTGACCCCGGGGTCTACTAATCTTTAAATAAATCTACTTACATGTATTTCACTACGGTGACCCCGGGGTCCACCTGTCCTAAAACCTAGTATTTTGCTAGGTAGACCCCGTTTTTAACAATATCCAGAAAATAACATAAAATGAGTATATAGATCTATATCTATACGTATTTTATTAAGTATATACTTAAAAATAAAAGACTGAGCAGAGGCTTACAATGTAAATTCTGTGCTCTACACGTAGAGAAAGTCTTAAGTTTGCGCAAAACAGATTTTAGAAAAAAAAGTTGATCTAATTATTCTAATAAAAGTAAAAGTGATTGTTATGGTGAGATTTGTTATCATTAATTCTGGAAATACAGATAGTTGCTGAATGTAAAATTAACTAGAACTGTGCAATTCGTTTTATTTCAATTCCAAAGCCCAAAGGCATAGCAATGAGTTAGAACTAGATCTAGCAGTTGTAGGCTCTCTGGCTGCTTCTAACATTTGTCTGCTACTACTGATTCTAGACAGGGAATCTAGATCTAGATCTAGCTATCACCTGCACTATTAAAGTCAAATATATGGTAAAATAAAAACAAAACTGTGAATCGCTTTGTCAGTCAGTACATCCCAATTGCCATAGCAGCACGTATTAATAGTTGAATAATTATACCGAAGCAACATGTTATCACAGTGTGCAGGGGAGAGCGGGGTGCCCGGGTCGCTGACCGGTCGATTCGGTGGTTCGGCTTTTGTAGATCTATGCATTTTTTACGGAAAGCCCTATTACTAGATCTATTAGTGTTGTGAAAACTTCAACCTCTACAGCTAAGGCGGCAAAAGATGTTGGAAAATAATAATACGTCCTGAAGTTTCATAATTTATACAGAATAATACAGCCAGTAGTTTTTATCTCATCGAGTTATAAAAATGGCCTTGTAACTTGTTTTCAGAAGCAAATTTTAATAGTTACAGTTCTACCGAATCGATTTTCACGCAAATTCAACCATTTTGATGACCATTTCTTTTCCTTTTAAAAAGATAAAGGCCTGTCGGATGTGGCAGTGCGATTAACACTAAATTGTTTAGACCCATCAAAACACAAGGCTTCGTGGCCGATCACAAAGGTCTACGGGCTTATCGAGGCCGATTCGCCCTGCCGCGTGCACGTTCACTAAACTGCCTACTAGATAGAATCTACTACCAAAGATTCTTCTCGATCTTTGCTACTACTACTACTACTACTACATCTACATGTAGGCTACTACTACTAGACAGTACGAGAGATGTACTACTACGAGACAGTACGAGAGAGTGCCACCCAGGCAAAGATAGTGTAACTTTGACTCAGCCACGTTGTGTACACACTTTTTATACCCCAAATTTAACCCGGAAGTCCATTCGGAGGATTTGACCTTTTTACTTGACCAAAGTGTGCCAAAATGGTAGCCTAGATTTTGCCCCTCCATGAAGGAAAAATCTGGCCCTCATTCAAACCATTGAGATTGAGCAAAACTTTGCGTATCATGCTTTGTTCTTACAATATTCATTATGATATATATAAGTTGTACACTGAGACAAAACTGTACTAAATGAGAAAGGTGCACCATTATGAAAGTGGAACGAACTCAGTTGCCTTAAAAGGGTGTCCCCTGGTAGTTTGAGCATGTGTGGCCTAAATAAGCTAAACCCCCCTCCCTTACCTTATTTAGGCCACCTGTGGCCTATATAAGCTAAACCCCCCTCCCTTACCTTATTTAGGCCATATGTGGCCCAAATAAGCACTCCCTTTTCTTTACGTTGTTGAGCTTTTACACCGAAAAGAGGCAATCTATTCAGGTGAAAGGTGGAGGTCCATGGAGATGTGCTGGATGAAACCCTTTCTGAAAATAATGTATCATACTTGTCTTTTCCAATTTTTGTGATGTTTCTCACAGTCACAGAGCTCATAACATAACCTGTCATGATTCTGGATCTGTCAAGAGAAATCAATTGCCCAGATACTTCAAGGAAAGGATTTCCCACATCAGAGAATACACTGATTAAGCCATTCACATCTTCTCTGAAAGTCTCTCGACATTTAGGATACTGTTCATGGTGCTTCCTGTGACTGTTTTGATGTGTGTTTTCGAACTCCTCAATGATGTGAGCAAGGTCTGGTCCAGTAATCATAAATCTTTCAAGGGCTACAGGATCCTCAGTCAGTCCAATTATTCCTCCATCACCCTTCAGAGAACCGATGAGCTGCTCATAAATTTGGTCCATGGCAATGCTAGAAAATGCACGACTTGTCTTCTGTCCTACGAATTTTCCCTTCATGCACACTTTATGTGTATTTCTCGAAGGCCACACATATCTCGTAGATGAATGGGTAGATTGCGGACATAGTGTTTGTGATCAAGAGCATACACCCATGGCATGAGATGTTCTACAGTCACTAAGTACAGATCAAACGATGCAGTCCGAATCAACTTCACAAACTGCAGAACCATCAGCTGCAGCTCAAGAGTCTGGTGCCAGTACAAGAATTGCGGTTCTCGGTCTCGCTGATACCTAATCTAAGCATCCAGTTCCAATGGGTCATCTTCAATAGTTGTTGTCAGGTATTCACGATGGGCTTGTCTCAGTAAACTATACAAAGCAAGAGCGGTGACTTGGTGCATGTAGCGAGTGCGAGTCAGATGTGTCACCAACATCATAGAATCAGCAACTCCACTTGAAGCCACACCACTGACTGACAGAAGTGATGTCAATCCACTCCCTTCCAGCCACTCCCCTAGGCCCTTCAAACAGCATTTTCTCAGTGTGCAGCGCCCCAAGCATCACCACAAACTTGTCCTCTCCCAAGACATCTGAAAATTTCCACGGAATCTTCTTTGCCAATGTAAAGAGTGGCTGATCAGCAACCATGACCGGGGTCTGTCCTGAATTCAGTGACTTTGTAACAGCAGCAACAATGTTCATCCCATGGAATACCATCATTGGACTGTGAGCTGATTCCCTAAAAAGGGGAAGCATCATCACTGGGGTGACTGGTGAAAGCGGAGGTCCAAGCTTGTCATTTTGAAATATGCAAAATATATAATATACTTCATAATCACATCATGTGACTAACATATTGAATAAATAAAAAACCGGACCTTCTACATCCAAAATATTTTCAATGGTTAAGGCATCCCCAAAAACATATATTTTGACACCATTTTCGTGAAAATCGAAGATGTGTATGATAATTTAGAGTTATTTTCATTTTGCTTGATTTTTCAATGGCATCCATTTTTAATTTATGCAAATTAGAGTGAAATTATGCAGATAGAGCTTGTGTCCGTTTATCAAAATTCTTAGTTTTGTTCAAGGTACGTGTGTGCCAAGTGGCATGTTCCTACTAAAATTTGCAGTGGGGGTGGAGTTAGGGAGCCCACTATAAGGAAGAAACCAGACTTTGGAGGCCATTTCCTCGATTATTTTACCTCTGAAATCATGCGACCCCCCACCTACTTCAATCACAAATATAGCGACTTCTTTTCAAGATATATGGATATTTTTTCCAAAGAAAGCAAGGCAAATGAACAATCTTTAAGTTTAAGCTGATACCAATAATTTTATATACCCAAAAATAGACAAGCCCCTGATTCTATCACGTCCTGACACATATTATTGACTAAAACTACACTATGTGTGTGTGTGTAAATTTTAACTGTTCACAATGCCAGCAAAATGTCAGTTTCTAGTCGACCATGTGAAAGGCCAGTCTTTATCAACAGAACAACTCTGGTGCTGCCCATCTCCCCCAAAGACTCTCAATGGATTTACACAACAATAGAAATAGAAATGCACTGACTCAATAAATGAGTCTGCAAAAGAGCAACATAATTGGCATATATATTGGCGTGAAAAGTATTTTAGGGTATGAGACAACTTTGCCATATGTGTCACTTTGTCAATGAAGGTTAGAAACAAAGTCATTGTGCAGACATGAGCCATGCCCTCCTCGAGCCCTTCCCTTAAATCAGTAGACATTGTGATTCCCAACTCACAACACAGAGTCTTCAGTAGCATTTCAGTCATAAAAAAAGGGCCATCATTGCCATGCGCAATAGTGTGGAGATGAAAATATCCTTGGCGAGTTCCTGCACCTCTGAAATATTATTATACAAACAGACTATATTACCAAGTCATAGATGTGTGTTATGCTGGAAGGAGTATTGTGTAAAGAATTACACAGGCACACATTAGTGTTTAGCATACAGAGCCTCTGGAAACATACACAGTTGGTAACGTCTATAACTGAAATCAGCTGTCACTATTTCAACATCCCAATCATATGTCAAAAAACAAGACAGAAAGACACAAGTTTACACAAAGCAAGATTGATAAATTTATTCACTGGATCGTACACACTTGCTCATGGTGGTAACATTGCTAAACTCTCAAACAATGTTCTATAAATTATTTCAAATTCATGTTATGTTTGTTACTACAGTATCCTGACTACCGTTTCTTCTTTCTACCCTTCTTGTTTTTCCTCTTTCCTTGGCCAGCACTAGCGCTTGCCTGACTAGGCAAATTAGAAGTGTCAATTTTGTAGGCTTCTGCTCTTTGTAACTGGCCAGGACAGTCACTTTCCTGCTGCACTGTATAACACGGCGACTGTGATGCTGAGACTAAAGAGGGAACAGGATTTTGGGAAGAGACAGTTGTTTTTGAGTTTTGACATGAGTCAAGATCCTGACCTTCTTGAATCTCTTTGTGACAACAATTTGCAATTCCACTAGACATTATTTGAGCTGATTCCTGATAGCACATGCTCCTTTCACATTCACACTGCGATTCTACAGTCTTATCACAGGTCTCTGAGCTAGAAATGGATTCAGCACTCTCGGTAACATTATTATGTACAGTTTCTGTGTTAGTGTTAGACACCGGGTCGGCGCTTTTACATACTATCTGTGAGTCAGATACTGGCTCAGGACCCATTGGCAAAGTCTTTGAAGCAGACTCCGGTTCACAACTATTTGGCGCCATCTCTGACCTGGATGTTGAATCAGCATCCTCAGTAACAATGCCTGCTAAAGGAAAAGAAACACTGTGCTGAAGGCGATCATCTAAAGACAATTCTCTTACATCAGCTGATTCTGTCACACCACAGGCATCTACAACAATACCTGAACTATCGCTGCCCTTGTCAAAGTCCTGACATCCACCATCATTAACACTACTGACTTTTCTTGCTAATAGACTTTCACCACCTGTTTCCTCATCATAGAATTCACAATCAGAATCAAACATAGGGTCAACATAGTTGTAAAATCTGTCATCCTCATCCTCTTCATAAGCTGTTGGTTCACAAACAGTTTCTGAAGTATGTTCAAAATTAAACTTCGGTTTCTTTTCCAACACATCTTTCAACTGCACGATATCTTCAGCTTTGGGAAAATGGTCCAACAATAGGATGCCTCTCTCTCCATTATCCGCAAGTTCGTCCACAAAACCAAACCAATAGATGACAGCACCAGAACCAAACCTGAAAAATTCGCAGAGCACAAAACAAAACAAAATTAATTAAAATAAATTTCATGCTACAGTAAGAATCAAAATCAGGTACACGCAAAATTAGGAAAAAAGACCATGAACTTTCAATACTTACCAGCTACTCTCTCGTCCCAACAATCATTAATGTATTGTCGAACCTGTCATGACGGCCACCTCTACAAACGGCCACTTTCCATTTCCCCCCTTGAGTTTTTTCTATAATTTCAGTGTAAAACGGGCACCTGTCCAACGCAGCCGCTGCCTCCATATTTTAACACAACCCCTACCACACCAAACAATAACACCTGTCTTAGATGGCCACCTTAGTGACTCCCTTACGTTTAGTCACAAATTATACATTGGCCTCTGGCTTCGAGGATGAGCCATCGTAATTCAATCACCTGTCATTGTTGTTAAGTAGTCCCTCCAACCGATCATATTGCATAGGCCCCTCTCACTGTTGACCAATAAGTAACAATACATTTTTAGCTGTTGGTGAGGTAAGCGTGTGATCCCTCATACCCTACTAGCCCCACCCATACCTATACACAAAGAGTACGTGAGATGAGTGGTCACTGTTCACTCAGTCTGTAACAAAGTAACAATGGACATCAACAAGAACTTGCAACAGAAGCGTCGCTTGTTCTCAGAGTGGTGGCGACCCATGTGTTAGTTTTAACATGGTACTTGATCTTACTCGTCTGACACATTTTGGTTTATTGTCATCCTTGCACAAAATCAGCAACAAAATTTTTAAAAAGCAAACAAAAAACAAACCAGCAACAACAGAAATACGTCTACCTTCGGTTGGGACCTCAGAAGGGAACGGTTTGTTTTCTTTATCTTGAAAAGTCCTGCCTAAGACGGCCACCTTTCTTATACGGCCACTTTTCTCCTTGATAATGGGTGACCATCTTACACAGGTTCAACTGTATCTTTCTAATTCATTTTCTAAATTTAGTACCCCTGAGACATAAGCAAAATGCAGATGTTCACAGTTGAAAATCTTTTCAACAGAGCAAAAATCTGTCATGTCTACCTTCACATGTGCAACTTTCTACTGGACAGCAAAACTCAAATCCCACTTTAAAAAAAGTTTGTGACTCTAGATATAATATGAATTTGCCAACAAAGAGAAACCCACTTAACCTTATTCAGTCAACTGACTTATTCCAACTCTTTAAGAAACTGCACACAACTTTGATGCAGCAGGGTCCTTACACATCACCCCCCTAATCATCATTGTTTCCCATTACACTGTGCTAGTCATACTTTTCCTTTTTGAATACTATATTCTATTCATAAAAGTGGACAAATTCAAACGTTAGACTTCCCAAATTAAGTGTTATGTAAATCACGTGAAAGCACAACTGCTAGATCGAGCACATCCATTTATATCCTATTAGTTTTGATGTCTCTTTTCAGAAAAAATAAACTGAAACCATAAATTTAAAGTAACACTATGACACAATAGAAGTGAAGATTCATTATGTAAAAACATAGCCAAATTGCACTTATGCAGGGCATAGCAGTGTATCTAGAAAATGTGCAGCAGCCAAGGCATGCAATGTGAAAATTTTTTGTATCAAAGCATTATATTGTAAGAAGAAATAACTTAAAGCTAAGAACAAAACTTAGGATTGGATAAACAAAGAGTTCAACAATAAATTTCTGTTTGCGACAATTGCATGAAACAGTCAATGTTGTTAATCCTCAGCAGAGGCGATCTCTTCGATAGACAACCTTATTAACTATAAATTAACCATATTGTGATATTCATACTAAACATGTATTATCTTTGTACAGCCACACACAACCGTCATAACGATGAACTCTACTCATAATTCAAAATTACACACGTGCCTTGCAGTGACAAGTAATAGCAAAAGTAATGAAAGAAAGCAAAACAAATTGACACATGTAATTTCGGATGCTAAGTCCAAAACTCAAAGAGACCCTTGATATCCAGTTACAAAGTCTATGGTGATCTCACCATGAAGCAAAATACGTGAGCTGTAAATTATATTATATCAAACCCCAAAGCTAATCTTAGTGATCAGATACCTCCCACCCCTACACATACCCTCTTTTCTATTGGGCAATTTCACAACCACACCATCAAAATGAACCTTCGTCAAAACCTTTCAAAATCAGGTATTTAAATATTCACAAACTAATTCTTACCTGTTCTTATATGGCAGGAACTGATCAATGGTATACTGTTCATGGTTGATTGGGTCACCGAAAGATGCTTTGCTCTCTATCCAGTTGACAACACGCTTGTTGATCACTGTAAGGCAAAAGGAAGAAAAATGCTCAGTAAATAGTAATGAAAAGGCCATAATGGTCTGGCTGGGCATCGGAAAATGTAGGAGAAGAGTGTGTGCCTAGCAATTGGTATGGGACAGGACAACTACCTTCACTTCTATCAAAAGAGTATTGTGTTATACTCTTTACAGTTCCCTTTTCCTGAAAATATAATTTACAGCAAACAAACAAAATTACTCAGGAATAGATCATAAATAGCTGTGTTATCCTCAGGGATGGATAAAAACAGACTAAGATTTGAAACACAAAATTTTCGTACCCCTTGTGAGAGGCGCCTTATTCTATTGCATGTGATGCAGATCTCACTGAATGTAAGGAGTGAGCACTGGTACCTAATCAGAAGAAATGAAGGTCTTTCTTCTTGTTTGATTCATATGTAGTAGGTCTGAGGTTGCTGAACAGTGAAATGGTAAGTTAAGGGTGCTGTGAAATACTCGCACTGCATCTTTCTCTCCTACATCACATGCAGACCAGTAGCTGAAAAAGTGTGTCAGCTGTGATTGTTTTTGATTTTGAATGCAGAAGCAACAAACGCTTATATGATCTCGAAGAAGGAACGTGGGGGTCATGATCTGAGCATTCCTTTAATCCAAGAATGTACTGCTGACATGACGGTAACCCATGGTGTGACCTGGAAGTTCTGGCTAGTGGGTTTTCTTTTGATGGCAATTAGCTGGCAAGCTTTCAGCACACAGGTGGCATATGTACAAATTAAGAGTACATATCTCGTTATTTCCATCTGTGCTTCTTTCAAACATACACTATATAAATTTTGAATGTGAAAAATCCAATAAGTCATTAACAGAACATCTAATTAAAAAAACAACAACCCAAAACAAAAGAAACTGAACCATAAAGATCTATCATAATGTGATCTAAATTTCATGAAGGAGAAGGTAACAGTAATCAAAATTTACTGTATCACAAGAAAAATTTAGTTTTGGGACAAAAATACAATTATAGTCCTGACCAAGCAAGAACATTTTACAGCAGAACCTGACCACTTACTTATGGGAATTTTCAGTTTTATGTCTGGAGTTTTGTCAAAGCCTTCGTCTCTCATCTGGTCTTCATCTATAGATTTAATGGGAAATAAAACACCAACACAAACAGAAATAATTAAGGGTACATATTTTCCATATCATATAGAAATGAAAATTCCAATGAGATATGCTGCTTATCCGTCTCATAAGTCTATAACTTACAGATTCAAAATGATAATTTACGTTGACAATTCAAAAGTCAGCATGATGCTTGTTTCTTATGTTGTTGAGTTGTAGTACATGCGTATATAAGGCAAGAGAGAATAAATATTGACATATTATTTTGCCTAGAACAAACAATTTAAAGGAAAAAAAAAAAAAAAGAAATAGAAAGAGCTGACTTAATATGGTGAACCAACAAATTACCTGCATGAAAATACAAGTATTACAAAGGGTAAAAAAACAAAAACAAGATAAAAATTTTACATTCCAATTCATAAATACCCAGAAAAGTTTAAAAAATATATTTGTGAAATAATTACTATGTCCTGCTCTTAGACATTACGAGGACATTGACACTTTCCCATTTAAATACAAGGTTTAATTTAAGTATCAGGGTATACAAGAAATCAATGGTTATGGCATACCTATGAAGGACAAACCAGCTCTCAAACAGTGAGACTGTAAGATGATTTCATACTCAGCACCACAAGTTCTGAAAGACATTCATATTCATATGAATATGTTAATACGGATTACAAATAGTTTTTAACAAAATAAACTAATATATTCATGATCATATGACATATTTGAGCTTTATACAGCTTAAACCTAGGGCTTCACTTACAAGCAACGGTGTAATAAAAGTTATACATAAGATTTTAAAATAAAGAAGCTTGGATTATAATTAAAAGCAGATGGAAAGACTTTTTAGTGACAGGGAAAGATTTGTAATCCAGAAATAAAAAAACTACATGCATCAGCAAATAGCTTTAACAAAACAAACTGAAGTATTCATATGAAACATCTGAGCTTAATAGTATAAAGCCTAAACCAAGAGCTTCATTTACAAACAACTGCGGTATAATAAAAGCAATTCAAATTCTGTACATACAACCCAAACATTTTTTATACTGTCTAGTGATTTAAAAGTTAGATTCTCTATCAAAAACTTACTTTTTGATACTGTCAACAGCTGGACCATAAAAATTGTCCAGCATAGTCGTCTGCAAGAAAAAGGGAACAGCACATCATAAGCATCTTAATCAAAAAGAGTACATGACAGGGCGATCTTGCTTCACAGAACAATAGTCAACTCAAATATTTCAAAAAAGTTACAAAAAAGTTAAAATAATGCATTCTTCTGCATTTCCCAAATATTAGAGGATTAATATAATTTCTTTCTATTGATTATGCGTTCACCGGGTTTACAATCATTTTTTTCCAATCTTATAATTTTCAATATGTTTTTAAAAAAGTTGTTAAAAATTGCTTTTTTCTTATAGAACTATTGCACAACACTTAACCCCATCCGTACGTCGTGTTTTACTATCATATCCATACAACGTGGGGAACTCTGTTCCACCACTTTCCAAAGAGGATATTTACTTGATAATCCGATCGGTACGTTTGCATAGCAGTCTGTTAAAATGATTTTTTGAGAAATACTGAAAGTTTCAAAGAGATCTTTGTACTAGAAGTATTCTAAAATATGAAGAATACAACTCCACGGGTACAAAATGACTCCAGGGCGTTCGGATAGGGTTAAAGAATGTTGCTCTATAGGCCTGAACATTTTCTCCTGTAGTGTTAAATGGACTTTGTAACAATGAAACTAAAAATTATTTAAATTTCATGGATGAGATAAACCAGCATTCAAAATCTTATGGAAAATACAATACATAAAGCCCAATACATAAAGCCATAATACAGAGTGACTTGGCAGTTCTCATAGTTGCAAAAGCATAAAAAACATACCCAACATTTTAAAAAATGAAGAAAAAAAAAGAAAAAGAAAACAAGGGAGCACAGAGATATATACTCAATACCCCCAGGAATTGAAAGCAGAACTCATTCAAGAAAAGGCACTCACAAGCAGAATGTTAACACAGCACTATATGAAGAAAGTGATTATAGAAACTAAAGTGTAAAAATTTAAATATTTTATGAATATCACCTCATATATTTCTGCGGCCAACTCTGGATTTGGAAGTTTTGCTATGTCTCGAAAACAGTCTGTCATAACTCCAGGGGGCACTGTGAAATGGACAAAAATAAATCCCTTACATTTCAAAAACCTTTGTCATTCTTGCGTAGCATTTGAACAACATTTAAACCAGGTCTCATGGCACAATATACATGTGCGAGAAGCATAAATTATAGAAGTACCAACAACAAGAGCAAGCAAAACTTTTCTTTAATCTGGAAAAGAAAAAGATACCGATAATGATTAATAAGGACACAGTGACAGAGGAGACAGAACCACACAGTGATAGAGGAGACAGAAGCAGGGTACAATACAGGAAACAAGCAACAGTAAGACTTTACACTCTCACATCAGAACCAGAGAAGCATAGTTAATAAATCGATATACGACTACAGTCTGCTAAAGGGGAGGAGCGACCCTTGATTTTGCAGATTTTGGGTCAGGCTATGCAAAATTTTATGTTGGCTGATTTTTGAAGATCAACCAGTTTTTTGTCTAAAAATAGCATGAACACAATTGAGAAAGTCGTTATTCTCCTTGTAAATTGCTTTTGAAAACATGAGGATGGGTTAATAAAGTGAATGTTCACAATAATTGTCGTTTTTAACAAAATGTATTTTTTTTTGGGCAGATTTTTCCCTACTCCCTTAATTTTTGTCCTTTTGACATTAAACTTTCAAGAAACATAGATGGCAAGGCTGCCATCAATGTAATAGAGAGATATTTGCAAAAACAATAACACTTTTCCTTTGGCAAGCGATTACGCAACCTAAATTCAGAAAAAGTTTTTTATACTTTGGGAAAATTCTCACATTTTTTTTCCTTTTGCATTTATAGAAAAAAACCTGCTGTTACTCTGACAGGGTCTGGTTTAGGTATATTCTCACCAAATTTGGTCAGTAAGTAAGAAAGCCTTTGGGATTTGAAATTCATTATTTATTTTCAAGATGGTGGCTGTTTCCATAGCAATCGCTGTAGCTATGCCAAAATAAAATTGCGTATCAAGAGATTTTACCATGCCTAACTTACATGTGTACTTAGATTTGATCTCTGCCAACAAATATAGAAAATGGTCCTCAAGGGTAGCTCCTCCCTGATAAGACAAATGCATTTCATACTATTTTCTTGAATCAAATTTCCACTTTATTCAAAAAACAAAAAAAGTAAAAAAATAACTGCACTCCTTATGTTAATAAAGGTCCGAAAACAATAAATAAAAAGCAAAGGTTCACCATCTCTGTATTTTAGATAATCTGGATCGATAATAACAACAGCATTGTAGATAAAGTTAATATTTCAACAGAGCTTGCACTATGACCTTAGCAGTTGCGAGCGCCGTAAAACCTTATACTATACATACATACATACAGAGCTTGCACTGGCTTACAGGTAGTTTTTCCTTGCAACAAAACCAACAGATAGTTTATACAGAAAAGCTTTAGGTATTATGACCCGAGTCTGTTCCCTACATGCACTTCTGCCTTCCCCGCGTTCTCTGCCCACATGGTATACATCATTCAAGTAGTACTCCTCCAGGATAATTCTTGCAAGCAAACATGGAGAAATGTCATTCTGTTGGATGGAAAGAAAAAAACCCCATAAAGATAAATTCAGGAAAAACAAGTACAGGTAATTGAAAAAAGTAAGGGGGAACAAAAATAAAGTGTTGATAAGTCTAGTGCACTGATAACGCATCTTACACCACTCTAAACACAAAAAAATCCCTAAGAAACACAGCAATTAAGACACATAGAGTGAAAAAAAAAAGTAGAAACCATCAGATAAAAAAAAAAAAAAAACTGAACTCATTCACTAAATTGCTTTTTACCCTCCAGGGCATAATTCCTGCAGAGAGCATGTGCATGTTTAGTTTTGTCTACTATGTTCTTGACAAAGTATAACATACACTGGAATCTCTTTAAAAATTGAAATCTGTGGGACTGCCTGATTTTCTTTGGTTTAGCCATATTTTCAGTTCAGAGAGGCTGCTTAAATAGAAGAAACAAAATTAGGGATCTTATTGTTTTTCACTTAACTGGCATTTTTTTTATTGTCCGAGATCAATTCAAGCTGACTCCACTACATTATAATTTATCAAATGAATGTAAAGTGAAAGGGGAACTGGAAAAAAAAAGAATATTTATCGGATCAAAACTTTAATATATTTTGGAAAGTCTGGACAGGAATAATTGGATATTTTTTAAACACTTTGCCATGACAAGGCTCCTATGGTAAAAACCCTTGCCATCAAAAGGCAAAGGCATTTTGGAAAAAAAAAATGAAGAAGCTGGGTGGTAAACATCACTGATCAAGGAGATGTGACGGAAAAGTGTTAAAGTTTATGGTCGAGCTAATGAAATAGCTTTTCAGAGTGACGAGGAAAAGGCTGAGCTGATCAGTCGGCCTGTCACAGTAAATGAGTTTAAAAACTCGACAAAATCACAGCAGCAGAAATCAACATTTCGACAAAGCAAATGTTCTCCAAATGTTTCTATCTACCAGGAATAATTTTTAGAACAATTTAGACAGTACCCGTGCACATTTACAGTACACCTGACCCTGTGTAGACGTACAGTCAGAAGTAGATAGCTTCATCTCACCTTAGCGGCTAATCTGGCAATGACATGCTCCTCTGATCTAGACTTGGCTTCCTTGTATCTGAAAACAAATGAAGTAAATGCATAAAAAACACTCCTGAACCTAAAAAAAGAAGTGGCTAAACCAGCAGCCAACTACACAAAACCAATAAAAGTGACTTCTAAAAAATAGCTTTATTAAAATCCAAATTCATATACAATGAGGAGAGATATCTTCACAGGAACTTCATAAATTTTAGCGTAAATTATAAACGGAATTCTAAATGTTGGAGAAGTGATGATTTAGTCTAAAACAAATAACTATGTTTTTATCACTTGACCAAGGTTTGCTAATCATTTAATAAATTCAGAAGTCTTTCCAAAAGTTAAAAAAATGAGTAAAAATGAAACAAAAAAATTGCTAAAATTTATCTTCAGTTGATTACCTCTCAGAACTGCCGAGCAAGCTTCTTTTCACAGAGCATTAAAATTGAATACACGACGGCTGTCAACAAGTCCTTTTGGGGTTGCTTCAGTTACGTTAGACAATTACAACTGGAGCATCTCAGATAATTATAAAGCACTGATATTTTTACCAATCAGGAATGCACAAAAATAAACTCTTAAACTAACATACACAACACATACAGTTTGTAGTATTTCTCCCTTGTCTCTCTGCGGTAGTGGTGGTAGTGGAAACGCCTCATTCGTCTCTGAGGAAAAAAAAAAAGAGGAAGAACATAAGTGTAAATTACACAATTACACAAATGAATATTTTTACTTCTACTCATTAATTTCTCATCGTTTTTCCATATTAAGGATAATGAAAACCACCACACTAAACCAAATGTGGGGGCTCTCGTGGCCTAGAGGTTAAAGGTGTTGGCCTCTCATTTAAAGGTCCCGGGTTCGAATGCGGGTAGCGACAGAAAAATTTTCTTCTCTAAAATTGTCTTTTTTCACCTCCTTTCCTGCTCTCTAGCAATGTTCTGTTGTCTGCTTTCATTTCCACTTTCTGCCCCCACGCCCTCACCTCCTTTGCCCCCTCCTCTGGGCTCCTGACTCTTTCTGCAGCCTTTCTACTGCTACTCCTTGGCTCCTCCTAACTGCTGTCTTTCTGCCACACCCCTGATCTTCTGGTAGGAAAGATCTACACCTAGCCTTCTCGGACAAGGGTGAAAAATCTTGGAGGGCCCGTGCGTGTGCAAGTTGCGCACGTTAAAGATCCCTTGGTGGTCTAAAATCGATAAGAGTAGGCTTCGGCCGCCACCCGGGCAAAATTCAAAATTTCCTACCAACTGAAAATATAAGGTGTGTCCCGCGCGCTCATATGTCCTTATACAGTTGCGAGCGCCGTAAAAAATACTTTACAAAAAAAAAAAAAAAAAAAAAAAAATGTTTATCTTCAAGAATCTTATGCTGAACAGAAATTGAGGACAAAAATGTCCACATCATCACACAGTCTTTTAAACATAATTTCCAAACCAATTATACCGGACAGAGTTACTAAAAAAACATTTTAAAAATTAAAGTTACATGAACAAAGCACATGTTGAGAACATGCACTTTAATACATATCTATTCCATTTTCTCTTTTCATGCCTTTAGAACACTTTCCTTTTCATACACTTGGTTCAGAACCCAACCTGAACCTTTCAAAAATACTTGAAAAACAGAACATATAAACTATACAGCAGGGGTCCCAAATTCGCCACCAATATTTTGTAGCCTCTACTTGACATCAAAGTTTAAGTTACTATTATTGCAACGGGCAAAGAAATGAGAATAATTTACAGTCAAATCTACCACAGGGGCCTCTCATGGTCTGGAGGACAGTGTTCGCCACTTATTCAACAGGTCCGTAGTTCGAAACCTTACAGCGAAGGAACATTTTTCTTCTCCAAAATCTCATTCTTTCATTTCCTTTCCTGCTCTCTAACCATGCTCTGTCGTCTGCTTTCGTCTCCATTTTGCGACCCCCCCCCCCCCCGGGCTCCTGACTCTTTCTGCAGCCTTTCTTCTGCTTCTCCCCTTGGCTCCATCCCTAACCTTAGGATAGGTAAGATCTAACATCATGTAGCCTTCTCAGATAAGGGCGAAAAATCTCTGAGCAGGGTCCTGTGTGTGCGAATTGCGCACATTAAAGATCCCTTGGTGATCCAAAATCGATAGGAGTAGGCTTCGGACACCATCAGGGCAAAATTCAATTTAATTCAAAATTAATTCCTATCAAACTAAAAGTGTTTCATATGTCCAGCGCACTCATGTGACCTTATGCAGTTGTGAGCACCGTAAAACATCCGCTTATTACTAAAACAAAAACATTTCAAACAAACTTACCACATAGTATTGAGCTTGAATACTTCTTAGAGTCTTTTCCCCAACAGTTTTCCTAAAAAGAGAGAAAGAAGGAATGAATGTTCATTTTAGATCTCTAAAGATCTTACTATCTAGTAAAGTGACCACCTGAAAATCTGGCAAGTCGGTTCTTCTAAGGTTGACAAGTTTGTTTGGCAGATTTCAAAGTGTAAACCTCAGCACCTGTTGGTTTGCTTCCCTTGTCAATTCTAAAATTTATGACCAACAGTGAAGCCAGAGAAAAAATAGACAGGTTGGTTTTGTAGGAGAATGAGTGTCTTTTTTTTCCATTCAATACAGGTGTGTGCATGTTATTTTATGAGTTTGATTTTGACACAAATTTAATGATATCAATTAGGATTACCTTATTTAAAAAACAATCTGATTTTGTGGTTTTGATCTTTTCATTATCGATTAAGCCTAACCGTCCTAACGATATTTGTGGCAAAAACAAGTTTCCAGGATCTCCTGCAGAACACACTCTGACCATTGAGTGACCATGGCGGCCCTGGTACCCCAAGAGGAACGTAGGTTGTAAAGCAAATTTAGCCTTATTAGTAGATTAGAGCCGCATCTCTAGTAAACATGCGCTGATTAAGTGTTAAAAATAGTGTTTCAATGTTTATGGTGCAAGTGAGAACCAGTAGCCTGAGTAGCGTAGCTTCTTCTATCCTTCTTTGATTTAGAAAAGGCTGCCATAAAATTTTCTCTTATTCCCCCCCCCCCCTCCCCTGAGGGGATTTAAAAGTATTTTACTCCATTTTTTTTACGAAGGTGGGTGTGTTCTTGAGTGCATGATTTAGTTTTACTGTCATTCATATTTTTGGCGTTTTTCTTTGCATTCTAGGACCTACGCTAGGATCCCTGTCACTGGGCGCTCCAGGCGACAAAACTCGCCTCCCTCTCTCACTCCGCAGAGCGCACGAGGCGACTAAAATCGCCAATGGGCAGACCAGCTCTTGAGCGCGGGAGGCGACTATTGTCGATTTGGGGGAAAACCTTTTCTTTTGAGCAAATATTATAGTGCCACCTTTTGTTGCTATTATTTGGTTCTGTAATGGAAAATTTTACTCTTGAATGGTTTAAATAAAACCAATCAAAATTAAGAAAAAAAACAAGTCTAGGGTCAAGGCAGGCACTGCGTGCCTTAAGAATAATCGAGGGATAACATGTTTATTGTGTTGTAAACAAATCCAATTCTAACATTTCAAGGACATACTAGATCTATAACAAACATTATTTCATAAACTGTAATAAACAGCTTTCAGTTAAGGCCTTTGTACAAAAACCCACTACTCTGGCAAGTGAATTCCTTTCTGAATTTAGAAATACACTTGTCAAGGGTTTTGGTGACCATGCGTGCATACTCTCAAGATTAAAAAAAAAGGAAACAATAAGAATCCCCGCGGGAGCCTAGAAAAATCGGCCAGCGCTCTGGGGCAGGTCACGAATGGTCACTTTTACAAAAATCACAAATTATTTTCTATCTTCTCGAGTTCGAATATGAAAAAATGTTATTCAGACTCTGATTCTTGTCCAGCATGACATCACTTCCAACTTCCTGTGACTCGTGACTCCGGCTTCCTGTCCTGCCTCACTCGTGACTCGCCTCAGGCTGGGTAGAGACCGGGATCACTTCGGGCAAAAAGGCGTTTTGTGCAGGAGCCGAGTTTTAATCTTATGATGAATTTGAGGCCGGCCTGAAAAGTTATAGCGCTTCTAATAAATGTTTATTTGTCAAGAGGTCATCAGAAGCAATTAAAGATGGCTCGTTAGCGTGTGTAGGGGTCGGATGTGTGGCTGTGTGCGTGTCGGGGAGGGGGGTGGGGGGGGGCACTATCGGTCCGGGCGTTGAACGTCGCATACGCGTCAGTCTTTTTCCCCCCGGCAACTGATCATTATTACAATATTTAATAAGCTAGTCTTGACATAGATCTACGTAATGAATTGTGCGCTGGTCTATGGAATCAAAAGTTGCCGTATGCTCAGCTCTACACAGCAACACAACTTTTTCTGGATAAACAGCTCATAATAAGCAGGTGCCAGGTGGTCTGCTAATCTTCAATTTCATCTCTTTCTACAACAAAGAAAGTGGGAAACATGGGGGGTGGGAGGGGGGGGCGTATCAATGAGGCGGTGGGCATCGGATCGGCAGAAAAGGTGTGTGTGTGGGGGGGGGGGGACTAAAAAATGGCGGAAAATTGGAAGCACTGAACGTTATCTAGAACTATAGAACGAAGACACTTCCTTTTTTCCGAACAACATTTTTTCATATTCGGACTCGAGTACGAATAATAATTTTTTTTATTCGGACTCGAGTCCGAATATGAAAAAATGTTATTCCGACTCGAGTCCGAATAACGACGGCCTATTATAAATAATAAATAGAAAGCTATGAAAAAATAGAGTGTTATTTTCATCACTCCCACGGTATTCATTCTCATGGCTAAAACACACGTTTCTCGGCAAGTGCGCTGTACACCAACAGCCAACAATACACACTTACTTAGAAGTCAAGGCTGGATCCAAGCAGATCGGGTCAGCGGGGCCGAAGGCCCCATCGCGGCCGATGAATGCGCGGTGATTTCGGGATTATATTACGGCTATAAATGGAAGGGATGGCTCCCTATACAGAACGCATTGGTCAAAAAAGACAAAAACGGGCGTTTTGGGGTTTCTAGACTTAAAAAATGAATTGAGCGACCCCACAAAGTGCTAAAGTGTAACTTTAGCTGTTCGGGAAATTGAAATGAGAACTTGAAATGCTCGTTAAGGATTGCAAAAACATATTTACGGATTGGGTCGGAACTACTTTTTGCTCGCTAAATTTAGCTGACTTGGGAACTCTCTCCGGAACTACTTCTGGACAAATCTGTTATTCTGTAACTGTAATAGGAGGACTTCCGTAACGAGCGACCACTATATGAGACAGAGCAGAATTGAGGGCAGGGGATAGGGGAAGATCTAGGGGAAGGGGTAGGGGTATTGAGGGCTAGGGGTAGGGGCAGATCTAGGGGTAGGGATAGGGGTATTGAGGGCTAGGGGTAGACGAGCGACCACTATACTATATGAGACAGAGCAGAATTGAGGGCAGGGGATAGGGGCAGATCTAGGGGTAGATCTAGGGGTAGGGGTAGGGGTATTGAGGGCTAGGGGTAGGGGCAGATCAAGGGGTAGGGGTAGGGGCAGATCAAGGGGTAGGGGTAGGGTTTGGGTTAGGGTTAGGGGTCGACCAGTATGAGTCATGAGACAGCAGAATTGAGGGCTAGGGGTAGGGGTAGTATAGGGTTAGGGTTAGGCCTCTTCTTATTGTGTTTGATGGGGTGGTCACTCGTTACGGAAGTCCTTAATTACAGTGGAAGGTAAGTTGTGAGATATTTCATTGAGATGTACGATGGTTGAAAGGTCGGGGTAGTTGTCATTCGAATAACCGTGAGTAAAATACTAACTATACACATTATTTCACTAAATGAGCTATTATAAAGACTAGGGTGGAGTATTCGAGTTGTAGTTGTAGTGATTGGTCAAACGCGCGTATGAATACTTGTTGCAGGATGTAAACAAAGATGGGGCATGCAGGGACATTCGAGTGGATTTTTCAGATTCTTTAGTCGTCTTTGGACGCAGCGAGTGCTTTTATATTGTGTTTAGAACTCAAATTATGTTTTTTGAACGGATATTGTAGAAAGTGTTTTAATTGTTAAGTGGTTAATAGTTTTTCTTTCTCATTTTGGAGGGAAATTAACACTTTTGCTGGCGTATTAATATTTGGAAGAGGCTAGCCGTACTTATTCTTAATATGATGGCTAGACTGACCTATTTACAAAAAATAGGCCTACTGAATTGTAAATATACATTTTTAGTGTGCAGTACCTAAAGTATTTGTATTTGGGACGAAACCAGGGGCCTTAATGACAGTGCATGTATTTTAAACCTCCTGTTTTCTAATGTTAATTAATAGGGCCTAAGATAAGTACGGCTAGACTGTCAGGCTAGCCGTACTTAATATTGATGGCTGAATTGTAAATGAAATTTTTAGTTTGCAATGCCTAAAGTATTTGTATTTCAGACAAAACCAAAAGTGCAAAAGGTGCCTTACTGACTTGCATGTATTTGAACCTGAATAATTACTAGATCTAGATCTAATGAGACCTGTGTACTTAACAGGCTTGAGTCGATTGGGCCAAACCTAGATCTAAGTACGGCTAGACTGCCAGTCTAGCCGTACTTTAAGTACGGCTAGACTGGCTAGCCACTTCGTTTAGTTCGTTAATATTTTTCCCGATTTTTCTCTATTATTTCATTGTATTGACCCGGTCTGCTTGGATTTTACCAAAGTCAATTCAATAGACGAGTGACCCCGGCGGCCTGCCCGGAACGACGTAATCGGTTGCTAATAAGATTCGCATCTCAGCACAGACGCAGGACAAGAGTTAAATATAAATTGATCTAAAATTACTTGATTCTAGATCTAGATCTAGAATATAAAGTAGATCTAGAGTGGTTGGACCACATACGAACCAGATTAGATCTAGATAATCTAGAAAATCTAGATCTAGAGTATAAAAGCGAAACTTACACAATGTTCGGATAGGTTTTTCTCAGTACCAAGATACCCTCATTGAAAGACGGCTTCCTGCTCAGAATTTCAAGAACAGCATCATAAACTTCTTGTTTCATGGTTACTCTATATAATGTGTTATCACATATGGAAGCGGAAAATGAATAAAACAATAAATTTCAATAAAAGTGATGCCAAAAGACTGCGTGCTTCGAAATCCTTTTTCAAAATGTGTACTTTGAAAAGTGTTATTTATTTATTTTCGTTTTTAAAAGCTTCCGCTTCCGCAAAGGGACAGAAGTATGTCTATTTCCGTTAAAATATGGTATGCCAATTAGTTAAATTAATATATTTCAACCGATTAAAATTTATTGACCTAAATATTAACTTTGTAGCTTTCAAATATATCTATTCGTATTTGATATTTTAATAGTTGTTTATACTTATCATCATTTTAAATGAAAGTAAGAAGGTTATTTATTGTAAAGGCAACAGCCAGTATCACGCGTACATTTGACATTTAAACGAATAATATATCTGGCCTTGTCTTGGTGACCTTCGTTTCGGCTCTCAAGCAGTCCACTGTTTCGAGTCATCATGCCTGAGAAGGTAATTTACGGGTTTTTTCACTTACTGTTTTCGTTTTCAAACGATTTGTCTGGTGACCCCTGAAGTTATGCCATAATATCAAAGTAAAATGGATTCCCCTAGAATGCTAGCTCCTAGATTAAATGTTGGTCAATGTCTTGCCCTGCCTTTGCCGGTCTGTCAGGGCAGGTGATGCATGCTCCTAGCACTGACACCGATTCAGTGACTGACTGGCGATTGGGACTGGACCGTCAATCTAGTTGAGACCTAAATCTAGTAGACCTCCTATTGCATGGAATGTGGGCATGGGCAAACATAAGCCCGGTGTGCCGTTGTCAAAATAAACTAGATCTAGATCTAGTTAGAAATGGTAGGACCACTCATGAGACTCAGTAGATCTATTTGTGCTGTCTGTGCTGCAAGGGCAAGAGGGAATCAGTGGAGCGACTGATGATGATGATGAAACTATTGAAAGAATTCAGTAGAATAGAGGATTTAGACTCTAGATTTTTAGGGTTTGGGGTAGGGGTTAGGGTTAGGTCTCTTCTATATATTGTGTTTGTTTGGGTGGTCGCTCGTTACGGAAGTCCATTCGTGTTGCAATGTGTGTTGAGTCTGAGGGGCCTCCGATATTTAAGCCGAAACAGGCGAAAAGGAAAGTGAAACAGTTATCACTGTTCTTGCTGAGTGGCAGTGTCACAGTGTGTTGCAATTGCTAGCAGCAAAGTCAAAATTGCAAATTATCTTTCTTTTGGATTTTGATTGTTTGCTTACAGACAGTGGAACTCGGATTCAACCAGCAATGCCAATCAGGGGCAGCGAAAAATTGGTCCCCGTTTGCGGGTGAATTTTTGGACCCGATCGTAGCGTAGGTGTCTAACTTTCTCAACCTTGGTCTGCTCTATTTCTAAACCAATGTGAATGAAACTCGGCAACCAATCAGAAAGTAGGGCAAACTAATTATATGTGGACGTTGAAGTTCGTACACATAAATTAACCTTACTTTTGGTGTCGGTAACACTTTTGTATCGGGTGTACCGAAAACTATAAGCAGCTTGAATTTCAATGCCGAGATGGTAATAGATCTATCATTCCTCTATAGTGTACTCAAATTTTAACGTTCTGTGTCCAGTAGTTGTTTAGACCTGATAATAAATGCACGACTACTCCCCTATCCAAAGCAGCTTCGCGCAGAGACCGGCCATTTTCCCCTCACTCTCGCGGCAAAAGTATGTGACCTGCAAATCCCCGCATGACTATTCTGAACCCGTTCATTGGTCACTTGAAGTAGAGCAATAGCGGGCGCGCACATCCGGTTGTTTTTCTCTCTGTTCCCCTGTAACATCGCAATGGGAATATTCCGAGGCGACGAGGCGAGCTTTTATATCGCCTCGGGATGTTTGCGTCTCAACAGGGAAAAATAATTTTTTATTGTACGACATGCTAGATTGACTTAACTTATCTTTTAAGGTTGGCATGGTCTAAAGTAAGTCGTTAAAGAAAGCTTTGCCATTATTTAGTCACGCTGCCAACATATTCTTAGAGATCCCATGTTGTGATAAGATGCTATAAATAAAATGGACTCATCCCAACTCCCCTTTTTCGCAATAAATCTATGTACACCAAAATTTTAATTATAACAAAATAACTACGAAATGGTTAGTAAATCTGATGGCAGAAATGATCTCTCCACCCAAAAACACATCTGATAGCCAAGTTTCTTTCTTACACTCCAATTAATTACCGAGATATCGTCGATTATCTTACTGAATCTGCTACTGCATGGTCCACTTTTTTGGAGTATTTTGCTATATGTGGGTAATCCATATATTTTGCCGACCTTTACAACCCAATATAACTTTTTTATTTATGAACTGATTCTTAAAATTCAAGAAGCATATAATTCTTAGAATTGAAAATTGTTTCTTAGGAACCAATAAAAAAGGGCTAAAGTGAAGAATTAAATTTTCATTGGCATTGCTAGATTCAACGAGGTCGCCTGGCCTGACCTAAAATCTCGTTGAACCCAGTGTTTGTTTTATAGCAAACACGAGGTTTTATGTAGATAATTACAGGCAGTGAGCAAGTATTGTATAATATAAAGAGAAGTCACAAGTAGTGCCTGAAATATCTGCATATTATGAGTTGTGTAAAAAAAAAAAGGCCGGCTCTATTTCTTCTCAGAACGTTAGGGAAAATAAACTTGAACAGTTTCCGTTTTCGAGATTTGTTGATAATAAATTGCGAATGGAGTGGCCCATGTGTGTGTGAGTGCGTGTGTGGGTGTGTGTGTAAGGTGTGAACGGGGCAGGGTGGAGGGATTTTTTTTTTTACATGAGGGATTTTAATTTTTGCTGGGTGACTAAATGCAAAATAGGTTACTGCCAAGGTGGATCAGTCTTGTTTTCTGGCAGTACCTTTTGAAGGTATTTTCAATATGAAGTATAGTCCGGGAACCATACCTGCCCACCCTAATGAAAAAATGGGTAGATCACCGACTTTTGGGTCAAACTGCCGATCCACCGATTTTGAGATGAAGCCACCGACTTCGGGATTCAGCAGGGTGACTGCCAGACCCCGGGAATTTGAGAAAGTTATCAAATATTTGAAAACCAAATCCGATAACGCCCGAAAGTTCATTTTTGCCGGTCGCGATTGTGATTCATTCGGCTCCCTCGAGAGTATGTTTCTTCACGCAGACAGGCGGCTATGGTGGCAAGCGGGTGTGATGCCGACGTTTGATCAGGATAATCAAGATAATATACTTTCACTTTCGTTACCACCCAGAAATTTGCTGATAGTAGTTTGATAACGCAACATTAATTGTAACAACATGCAGGCTGTGCTTGGCAAACGCTGTGTCGCCTTGAAAATAAATCAATATTTGTGCTGTGCTGTCACTTGTGAAAAAGAAAAGAAAGTTATAGTTATAATACAATCGTCTTGTCGGGTTCGCCTTTGTGACCGGTCAATGAACTGGCGCGTTCCATCACATTGTGAGCACGGGCACTTGTAGGGGTCACCAAAAGTTCATTCAAAGTCTGAGCGCTGCGTAGTATAGGACTCCGGAATGGGGGGAGGATTATTTTTTTTAAAAATACACTCGGGGGAGGGGGAGGGGGGGGGGGGTGAAGGCAACACCAGGGGACACAAACTGAACTTGGAAGCAAATTTTAGTATTCTAAATTTTTGATTACCTCTAGACCTAGATCTAGAAAACTCTCTGCAAAACGTGTGTTGGTGCAGGCCTTGTGTGGACTCGGGATCCGTCATACTCTTTCATTGTAAACTCTGCAAAGACAAAAGGCCAAGGCTAGGCCTAAGTCATCCAAGGCCCACCTTTTCTTCATCTTTTCTTCTTTGCTTCTGTTTTTTTTTTTTTTCTTTTTTTTTGGGGGGGGTTGTGGTATTTTGGTTTCATTTGTGTGTGTGTTCGTGCAGGTATGAATAGGACAGGAACTGCACCAACTACTAATAGGGTAAATGCCTCTGGTAGTTTTGATATTTGTCTTTTTTTTTTCTTTGTCATTTTCTACATTTGTTTGAAGTCGCAAACACAATCATGCATATTTGATGTGGGTCAAAATAAAATATTGATAAGGGTCCCAAATTAAGTATGCGACAATAGGTAATATAGCCTACTACAGATTTTTTAGGTCAACTACAGATTTTTGGACATAAATTTGCGTCCAACTACAGATTTTGGCCCAGGCAATGTTGGCAGGTATGGGGAACGTTGCCCCAACCACAACTGAAGTATCTGAATATTTAGACATTTAAAGATCTCAAGCTCCAGAAATTGAATTCGATGTCGATGCGAAAAATGCTACTTCCCACTCCTCGCAGAATGAAAGATGACGCCTAAATCTCGCAAATAGCTTAACCAAAAAGTCTCGAGAACGGAAACTGTTCGGAGAAAAGGTCACTTCGGAAAAAACCCACCGATTCGTTCAAATGCACACGCCTGTGTCATTTCGATTGTTTACCAAAAAGTTGTGTTGCTGTGTAGAGCCTAGCATACTGCAACTTTTGATTCCATAGACCGACGCACAATTCATTACGCAGATGTACATCAAGACTAGCTTATCATTGTAATATGATCAGTTGCCGAGGGGGAAAAAAAGACTGTGACTGTGACGCGTTTGTCTTCGACGTTCAACGCCCGGGCCGCTAGTGACCCCCTCCCCGACACCCACACACAGCCACAAGTGTGCAGGCCGCCCATCCGACCCCAACACACGCCAGAGTAGACATGTGCGCGTGCCAACAATGCATGAGTTGGTATGAAAAAGGCCGCTGATTGGTCGCATGCAATCGGCTGGGTGAATAATGGTCCACGTTGCGGGTGCATGGGATGGTTTCCGGGAATAGATAAAGTTCGTTCTGGGAGAAAAATGAGCGAAGCCACGTCTGTGGGGGCTATTCGCCCTGGAAGCGACCTCGTTGAATCTGAGCTTGCTGGTTAAAGTGCTCGTTAAATCCGGGTTATTTTTATTGATTTTAAAGAAGAAAAAGAAACGGGAATCTATCTCATCTCGTTGAATCCGAGTTCCACTGTATTATAGTCGACCCTGCTTGTGTTTAACTCACTGGTTGAGTTGATCTCTTTGGTGAAGTTGATCATGATCTTTTCCTCGGATTGCAACACCTCTTCTTTACAGATGGTTAGATCTAGATCTGACTCTTAAGTTGTACCTTTTTGACTGCCCCAACATCTACACATCCGTAGTCAACTGTAGACTCTATTATGAAAAGGATCACAAACTAGTTTCGACATTTACATTCTTTGTTTTGTAGAGTATGGTTTGGTGGGGTGTGGCATGCAGCTTTTGCCCCACCTGCCTGGATTTCTTCACCAAGAGTTGCTATGCCTAGGGCTACCCTACTGTTAACTCTAAAATCAAAACAGCACATACATCTATATAAAGTAGACTTATCAAATTCAAAGGAAGAAAACTATGTAGACTGTAGAATCATGCTTACTAGGTAGACCCCATCAAATTTAATCAAGTTTGGGCTTTTCCTACTGTTTACTAATATCCAATTAACTTTAGTGCAGTACTTCTGCTGTCTTTGAGGAAAAGAAACTTTATCAACACTTCAAACTGTAGGTTTTTTCTCTTATATTTTTAAGTACATGCTCGGCAATATTTGATTACTGTTCACACTTCTATTCATCCATTTCTATTTGCCCGAGCCAGTGATTCTCATTCAAGTCTGTGTGTAGATCTCTCTCTTCCCATGCCATGGGCACAGTTGGTCATTGTTTAAGTTTTTACATCTTTAAACATTCAGCACTCCTTTGCTTGGTTTTATAAAACAGGTATAAGGTTTAGTAGACTAATAATAAAATCATGCTTAAAAGTCTGCTTTCCCCCCTGCCACTGTAAAATAATACAGTATTCAATCTACTTTTTTTTCATAATTGAAATTAGCATTTTCTTTTTCTTTTTAGACAAACACAAGCGTGCACACACACACTGTAATAAAATGCAAGTTTATCTCTGCATAACTACCCCCCCCCTTCCTTTTAGATTGACATTTTCTTCATTTTTTGTCTGTAGCCATAATTCACTGATAGTATAGCAGATTAAGGTTTTCTTTTGCAGTTGTTTAAATTAATCATTAGTTAATATTTAGACAATGCATTTTGCACTAAAAGAACATACTTTTAGCCACCAAAATCCCAAACTGTCGACAAAAAAAAAATATTTGAATCCGAATAAATTAAAAAAATCTGATTTAAATTTAAAAAATCGATTAAAAATTTTTTTATTTTGAAATAACTCAAATTAGTCAGAGTGACATGTGTGAAAATGCTTAAAATTTTTTTATCAATTGCTCTACTAGTTGCGACACCAATATTGACGTGCTTCACAGGCTTTTGGATCAGGCTTGAGAGTCTTTTGTATAGTTTTGAGTGTTATTTACTTTTCCTGCTAAGAATTTTAAAAGTATGTTTTATAATGTATATAAAATGCTAAATTTAAGTTACATTATAATTTTTTCTTTTACTTTTGAACTTTTTCACTCAGTCATGTCTTGTTTCTATATTGCTTTTTTCCCAGATCCGTGCCGGTGGAGAACTGTTCAAGTTCCAGTGGACAGTCCTTTCTAGACTGCAGCAGTTTCCTTTTAAATTCTATTGGCAGAATGGCAGAGTTTTCCGCTACTACTTCTACGCGGCTGCAGCTGCTGCGCCTCTCTTTATGATGCTCACCAAAGCGAGTATGTATTGTTTTAGTTTTATTTTAGGAATCTACTTCTGGTGTCTTTTGTTTGGGCTGTTCATGTATTTAATATACAGTGACTGCACGGCTCGGAGAATTTGAATAGAATCACAGAGAATGAGAAAGAAAACTGGGGAAAATAATTTGAATTTTCTGTAATATAAAAACCAATTCTGATAAGGTCGTTAAGTTCACTTCTTTCCAGGTGACGTTTGTGGTATTTCTTTCAGCTTTCCCTGTTCTGAGAATGCACTTGGCATATACTCAAAATTTTATTGTGGAAGTGAAGATCAGATAGGTGTCAAATGGAGGCTGGGCAACCTCCATGATGAACAATTCAAGATCTGCTTTCGGTGCACCCAGAATTCTCCGATGACGTCTGATAACAGTAATAGTTGTGACATGCAGGGTGAACATTATCATGAATAAACTGTGGTCCTTGCAAATTTTGATACAATCCGTGCCGGCTTTAAGCACGGTCATCAGGAGAAAGCTTAAGCGTGCTTGAGTGCGAAGTTGATATAATCCAGAGATTTTCATGTAGAAAATTTCCCTTTGTTTGTAAGTAGGCCTATAGTGGTCCCGCAAAAGTGTGCACTGTTATTTGTACCCACCATGTTTGTTTTTGTTTTGAGGTCGAATGGGAAATGAAAACTTAATTTAGACAGCCAGTCACGATACAGCACACTAGGCCTACACACTGCCTGTGCGTACCACTGCCCGCTGTGCCACATTCATAACACCGTGTTCATCCCACATCACGCATGATACCCAATCAGTAATAATGGATAGCAAGGGGCAAAGTGAGATCGCAGCCAGCCTCCCTTTCTCGTCTCCCCGACTCTCTTAGTATTTTTTTTGTCTGTGTGTAGCTTTGCCCTAGGCTAGATTCTATGTCCACGCGCGCGGCTGTGTGCATCTCTTTGCCTTCCTCTCCGCCCGTGTGAGTGTGTGTCTCCATCACTTGCTTTCTTTCACTTTGTGTCTCTTAACACACTCCACTGCTGCGGTGTAGACTGTATTCGAACTTTGATGGATCATCATGAAAGTATTGACTGTCTTGTAAATGAAGCGTGCCTGAAGCCGAAGTTACCGTGCTTAAAGGCGTGTAGTTTACCTAGCAAAAATTTGGTAAGAGCCGTTTAGCGTGATTGAGTCCGAAACGTGCTTTAAAATAAATACCGGTGTGCTTAAAGCCAGTACGGACTGTAGTCAGCATTTATTGTTCCGCTGTCACTTACACACAGACTCAAACAAATATATATATGTTTTAAAAATATAATTACTTAATGATATTATAAGAAGCAAGCTCGTTGTACGGGGGGTAATATTCGCCATCTTTGCCTGTGTTATCTGATTTTTGGTAAAACTACTTGAAATTGAAATTGACCCTGATTCTTCGTGAAATGTGATTTTTGAGGTAGGCAGTCCTGAAATAGGAGCATGTCAGCTGATCAGTAGTTTAGTTACAGAGACAAAGGTTTTTAAAAGTTGGGTTGGGAGTGGAATGGGGGATTGGATTATTTTGGTTAAAGTTATCTTCATTGTGCGAAATACATACTGTCAATCTCTCTCCTTGAAAAGTCTGTTTGAATACTGTAATTTTATGGTTTCTGTGGTGGTATTGTACTTTTTAAAAAATAGTTGATTTTGAATGCTAGCGTTTTTCTTAAGGCTGCAGGTACTTTCCGCTTTAAAAAACAAAAAGGTCTTGATTGGTTTAAAATTGTTTAGAATTTTTTTTTTTCATTTACCAATAGTAGGATATTATTATATATTAGAATGAACAAGCGATGCTAAAAAGTTGTGATATTTTCTTTTTCCTTGGTAGCAAATGATAAGAATGTTTGTTTGCTTTTTTTTTTTTACAGTAATACATTTGTTTTCGTTTTCCAGGTTATGCTCCTGCCAATGTGAAACAGTGGGAAGAAATCAGAAATCACAGAAGACGTAAGTGCACAATTAAATTGTTCTTCCTATGATGTTTATTATTGTGTGAAGTAAAAATGTCCGTATAATGTACAGTGGAAACTTGATATAACAGGGATGGTGGGACCAGAGAAAAAGTCCTGTAATATCCGATCCCTGTTAGATCAGAAATTCAAGGGAAGCAAGCATTTGTGGACTTATCCAGCTGTATTTATTCATGGGTAGTTTCCCTTGCCACAAAGTACCCACAAACAAGTGTTAATGAGCCCTTGTCCCTTCTATAACTGATTGGGCTCCGATGATGCCCTGTTCTTGCAGATAGTTTTTAAAGAATTGTATTGGCAAAGTGTTTTATTCAGTGTCTTTTTGTTTAACGAATATTTCTTGTATTTTTTTTCAGACACCTTCTTCGAACTTCCTCATGAATAAAAGCTGTGCGTGGATAGGGGCAAGGCCGATGGCTGCGCCACATGTGTGTGATAGTGATCTGTGCTAGGCTGGACAGGACATGGGACTGAGTGGCATCTTCTTACAGTGTGACTCAATTTTGTGTTTTGCTGATTTACTTTCATTTTGTAGGTTTGAAAGAATACAAAATACAACGTTCTTAATATTTGAAAATTACTTGTTTTTCAGTTTTTTTGTTGATGTTAAAGTATAGCATGATTTTTACTAACTCTTAAGTGAATTTTGTGTTATGCACTTTTGGGATGGAGATTTGAGTGCATGCTGCACCATTGCTACTTAGAGTATTTCATTTTAGAGGAAACTATGTGGATGTGTTGAATTGTGGCTTCCATGCAATTGGCAAAAATATTGTCACTGCACTAGCAAAATGGCATATCTTTTTTGCTACTTTTGAGAATAAATTGAAAAAACCCCCAACTGTTTGGCCATGTTTCACCAGGAGGCAATAGCCATTAGAATAGGGTATTAGTGACACTAAAAATAAATTAAAGGAGGGGGCTGCACCAACATGCCCACTGTGAAAGAAAACTGCAGGCAAAGTACTTTATTAACACTTTGCAGTCACACAGCCAGCAGTACAAAATAGCCCATCTGGTCACCCAGCCAGGAGAATGGCTGCAACAGACTTCTCGAGCTTGTCACAGAACTGCGTCAAATGACCTGAATGGATCATTTTTATTGTGGCAAATGACCACAAAGTGTTACTGCAGCGGTATAAGCAGGCTGATTAAACAGGAGACATGGGATGGCACACTCCTGGGCCTGCTGTAGTTGACTACCCTGTGATTTGTCTCACTGTTCAAGCTGAGACTGAGACTGAATGAGGCCAGCCAGCTAGGGGGGCATGTTATCTGCTTCCTGTGGTCACACCTGCAAGGGGTGACCTGAACCAAAAATATTGTCACTGTGCTAGCAAAATGGCACATTTTTTTTCTACTTTTGTTGAGATAAATGGAAAATAGTTTTCTTTTTAAAATAACAACTGTTTGATAAGACTTTATCTATCGTCTATTAATGGTAAAATTTGCCATGTCATGTGTGTTACTTATGTGACTGCCGGAGCATTTTTTGTTTTGATTTTACCAAAAGATGTTATGCCATTTTGCTGGCGCAGTGATGATATGCTGGTTACAAAGCTTTGATTTAGTGATTGTGTTTATATATGTGCTCATATTTATAATATACTATTTATGGAGCTCTCATGATTGAGACGTACAGTGTTTACCTCTCAATCAAGAGGTACTGGGATCGAAATCTGCCAGTAACCAAAAACGAACACACACGGCACCAAGAGTCTGACTTTTTATGTTGACCCCGAAGTGAATAACATTAAAAAACCAAAAGCCCATGGCATATGCGTCCCGTGATTAAAAAAGAGTAAGGTACAAAACTGTGACTACCGTGACAGTAATTACTATCAAAGCTGAAAATACCCTTTGTCAGTATTAATAGAGAGCACCCTCCAAAGGGTCCAATGAAGTAGGAGAAGTGGTCACATTTTATAAAAATCAGTTGCACTGCAGGTTGAAGAACCCGCACACCACAATATTTGTTAGCTTCTTTGGAAGGACCTTTGATTTTGAATTTCTTGTCCATCTCCGAGAGGACCGAGCCAATGAGTTGAGAGCCTTGAAAATCAAATGAAAACTCAACAGAATGACCGGAGTTCAAGAAAGTCCAGTCTCGGATTCGAACCAGGGCTATCCACTCCCTAGTCCTGTATGATACCAACTGAACTAACAGTGAGCTCCAACTTTGCCTGTCTATGCCAAGCTAGGCTAGTTGTACTCGTCAAAGAAAGATTGCGATAACCCACTGTTGTGTGGGTTATCTCGCTGCTGTTTCCTGTGCGCACATTTGTTAGTGGGTTCTCTGGTGTGGTTGGCTCCTTTTCTATCAAACATGTATCGTCCTTATCTCTCCTCCTTTGTGTTTATTAAAGCTTTTGTAGTGGGTGGTTGGTGGGTGCTCTTGTGTGGTTTGCCCTTTTGAATCGGACTTCTGTCCTTATGTAATATCTCTCCTTTTTTGTGTTTGTTACTCTTTTGTAACAATTTTCTACACTTATGAACTTGTGTTGCAAGTGCGGTAAAACTCTTAACTAAAACAGTACATTTGTTGGGTTACTGTTCCCTCTGCTCTACTCTAGCACGTCCTGGAAGTGACAAAAAGAGTGGTATTGTGCCCCTTGGGGGGACAGAGTGTCTATTACCTCCGATCAAGTATCGAAGCAATGGTCCATGAAACAATGTAGCGAATTTGGCTTTAGTAAGAACTTTGCTGCACATGCAACACAATAAGGTCATATAAATAAGTGCTTAAGATTAGAGGTGTTACAATTTTTATTCTGTCCTGCGCGCTCATATGACCTATGCGGCTGTGAGTGCTGTAAAACACTTACCTACCGAAACAAAAAAGTGTAACGAACAACAACAAAAAAGGAGAAATACGGATGATAGATGTTTGATAGAAAAGAAAGGGCAAACCACACCAGAGGACCCACCCCCTGATGGTGAGTTTATAGTTTATGGACTGGAGAGCCTTAGACTATTTAGAGTTAAAGTGTGTAATCATCAGTTGCTGCTTGGATGCTGGCCAGTAAGGATGCTATTATTTAGTTTATACACTTTGTGTGTGTCCATGTTAAGAAGCATAAACTACAGTACAGTGGAACTCGGATTCAACGAGATGAGATAGATTTCCCCTTTTTTTTCTTCTTTAAAATCAATAAAAATAACCTGGATTCAACGAGCACTTAAATCAGTGAGCTCGGATTCAACGAGGTCGCAGAAGTGGCTTCGCTTAGTTTTCTCCCAGAACGAACTTTTATATATTCCCGGAAACCATCCATTGCACCTACATCGTGAACCATTATTCACTTTGCCGATTGCATGCGACCAATCAACGGCCTTTTTTCATACCAACACATGCGTTGTGGGCACACGCAATTGTCTACTCTGGCGTGTGTCAGGGTCGGATGGGTGGCCTGCACATGTGTGGCTGTGTGTGCGGCCCGGGCGTTGAACGTCGAAGACAAACGCGTCACAGTCAGTCTTTTTTCCCCCCTCGGCAACTGATCATATTACAATGATAAGCTAGTCTTGATGTAAATCTGTGTAATGAATTGTGCGCCGGTCTATGGAATCAAAAGTTGCCGCATGCTAGGCTCTACACACAGCAACACTTTTTGGTAAACAATAGAGATGACACAGGCGTGTGCATTTGAACAAATCGATCTTTTTTTTACACAGCTTATATTATTTAATATGCAGGCATTTTAGGCACTACTTGTGACTTCTCTTTATACATTACTTGCTCACTGCCTGTAATTATCTACACAAAACTTCGTGTTTGCTATAACGAACACTTGGATTCAAAGAGATTTTAGGTCAGGCCCGGCGACCTCGTTGAATCCGAGTTCCACTGTACTACTTTAGTTCTTGAACACTGGTTTATTTTAATGCAATGGACGAACCCACAAAAGGACACCACACTTACCTGATACTGATAAAGTATTTCCCAAGGTGGGAATCAAATTAAATAATCAAATTCACTGTCACTGATGTTGCAGTTAGACACTTTGCCTCCGTACGCAGAAGACTGTCTAGTCTGGGTTCCCGTGTGGGGAGAATTTTTATCGAGTGTCTGTCTTTCTGCTGGGATGATGTATCCCCTTCAGCCCCAGTTTGCCTTGACAGACAGGGTAAAACCCTGCTTACTGCCTCCTAGTCATAGTAAGTGATCTAAATTGTGTTGATGGAGGTGCAAAAACACCTACATTAAAAAAGAAAATGAAAAAAGAATCTAAACAAACACTCAAACCAGACGCTGGTAACAGAACAGGCATCTAAGTAGGCTACTGATGGTAGTGTATGGTAATTTCAAAAGCTGAACACAACAAATAGTGTACATCATGGGCATTTAATTGTTCTCTTATTATTCATGGATCAAAAATAATTTGTTCTGCCATAGTTACATCAGTGCACATCAAATGGAAAACAAAACTAACTAAAACAACATTAAAAGATCAGGATGGCGGAGGTGGATTAAAATAGTTACTTTTACTAGTCTTACCTCTTAAAAGTAATGGAGGGCAGGGAGATCAGTGAAATTATCAAATAGTTTCACACCTGGATAAAAAAACAAACACTTTGAGACTTGCCGAGACTGACATTGAAATACGCGTAATACAGATCCACCATAAATATTGTTCAGATTTTTGTTTCCGTGGGGGGGAAGGGGGGGTCACGACATAAATGACATTCAGAGAAGCGGGTATGGCTGGACTTTTCATTGTATGTATACAGCTAAGCTGAATGAAGTAACAGGACAAATAGTATTAGGAAAATAAGGTGATAGACAGTAATAAAGGAGGGATAGAAAAAAAGAGATACATGTAATATCATTAACATCCCTGTAATGCTGTGTAAGAAGCATAACTCAAAATTCAACCTCTGTGGATGGACAGCATTAAAAATTCCCCAAAGAACCAAAGTTCAAGAACATTGTGAATGGGGACTTGAACCAGGGTCATTAGCATAAAACAGTGCTGGGTAGCACATAGAAGGCTCACCCTACACACACAGAAAGTAGCAAAGCAATACTTTACAAAGTAATAACTAGCTTTTAAAACCCATAGAGAACAGCTCTCCAGTCATAATTATGCAGGCTCATATCTGTAACTCCCACTTTCAGACAATAGATTGAATCTTATTGTGCTTGAAGAATTTATTAGCCCTGGGAAGCAGACTACTGCAAGTGCCAGATTCTCCAATCACAATAGGAAATATCTTACTTATTATCTGAAACAGTCCATGATGCTTCATACACATCCAAAGGAATGGAATGCAGTTCAGTGCAATATACCGGTACGTGAGGTAAACGATTACGAATAAATGAAGGTGAAAACTAAAACAGTGGACAAATGAGGACTTGCTACTTCTAAACAAGGATAGATTCTGTAGAATTTATACCATAAAACAAAACAAAAATGTTCTCACAACATAGAAAAAAGTTGTGCTAATGTCAGTATTATAATATATATATCTCAAATTAATTTTTTTAAAAGAAGTCAACAACACAATTACAAGTATAAATGGTTACGTCCACAAACACTCGCACACAAGTTCTTGTTCTTGTCCATCTCAAAACACAGAGATCTCGGATACTTTTCCAATAATACACCAAACAATATTCAAGGTACTCTGTATCTTTTTCCAACTGGCTTCAGGGCTGTGTCATCGTGCGAGCTCATTCTCCATGTCTAGCAAGACTTACAATTCTTATACGTCATCAAATAGGGAAAGAAAAATAATGAATGCAAAGAAAGAGTCTTGGTTGAGAGTCTTATTAAAGTTTGAAATGCAGGAAAAGACATTCTGTAGACAGTGCAGGCTTGAAACTGAAAGATGCCATTTTTTGCATTGGGATCTGTATCATGCATGAAAGAAAAATAGATAGACACAATACTGAACCTGAATTCTATGGAGGACTGACTCCTTATTTTTCAAACTGGACTCATAAAACAAGCAGAAGTTTGAGAATTATGAGATTCTTCGCAGGTTAATACATGAAATGAATTCTAAATCAATTTTTAAAAGTTTTGAAGTACAGGAAAGGAAAGGAACAAAACTTTATACTTTATGGACACCTCTCTAGCAAGAAGCATTGACACCTTTAGCCACAAAGTGCACTACAAAAGTTTTCTATACCTACGGATAGACAGCAAATATAGCCTGAAAAGCTCAGATTTACTTGTTGTGTTCAAGCAGAGCGTCAGCGGCAGGGAAAAGATCAAGAAACACCAGGTTGCAAAAGTACAGACACTCTTCACTGACGCAATATACTGCCGGTTGTCACAATGCGGGAAAACAAAATACATTGTAAAAAAGAAAATGATAAAATACATGCTTAGAACAGGTAGGCAACTTTTTCAATTTGAAGTTCACACATGATACAGGTGCATATATCTATATATTGTCAAGCTCATAAGATAATTGCCAGGGTCATTTTTGGCAGGTTTGGAGTTTTTGGTTCTGAAATGAAGATCAAGGCCAGTTTGGTAAAATAGTTCACTTGGACAAAAAACATCCAATTTTAAAACCAGTTAAGAGTTCCAAAATTTAAACGCTTCCTGTAGTCAATTGTTCGAAAGAGACAATTTTTTCTCATTTTCTCAAAATGGCTAAAAATGACATTGGCATCTTATGAGAGTGACGATACGTATCAGATGAGCTTAAAAAAACAACCGCCTTACAAACGCATATTATGTACACAACGGCCTCAACTTTCCAGGACTTCCTACAACTGTTCTACAAGACCCTTCTTTCTTTACCCAAAGAATGTTAACATTTGGCATGTTAGCCGAGCATTAAACAATTTTATGCAAAGGTAAATGAAAATAACCTTCTCCCTTCCATCACAAGTTATTAATAATACAGATACAGATGACATGATAGATAATTAATCAATGTCCCTGAACCATGCATAGTGATTGCTTCTTACCAAAAGTACCAACAATACACATCATTCGCTTTGATTGCCTCAATTTTCTAATAACAAAACAATGAAAACCAGTCTTTAAAAAATTTAAAAAACATGTCTCAAAATAGTATAAAAGGCTAAAAAAATAATCTTAAAGCTGCTTTGTTAAAAATAACCAAACAAAAATCTGCTTTTACTAAGGTAAAAATAAACAACAAGCAAACTGTGCCTAAGGATAGCAGAGCAGACATACTTCTTTTCTACTTCCTTCTCCCCAATATGACACTGACAGGCCTCCAAGACTTGAGTTTACCATATGTGCAGTCATTTGCACACAATGGGAGTGATCTTACTGGGGATATAAAAATAATAAGCGGACTCAACAGAAGCTGACCCACTGACGTGACATTACTAAAGGCTCCCTTGGCAAGTGTCCGAGCAGAGAGCATGCCAACAACCACAACATACAGCTGAGTTATACCCTCGAAATCACAAAAATCAGTATCACTAAACAAAAGATAAAGTGCCCTCATTCCAACACAACATTAAGAGAAAGAGAACTGCAAGAGAAGTTGAACACTTTTCCTTCTCCTCATTAAATAACCCGACTGGCCTAAAACGAGATATAATTTAGCCACAGACTTACTGTTCCTGAAACAATAACACCAACACATTACGAGAACGTGGTTGGAATTTCTATTATGATCTAAAATGTCAAAGAATTAGGATCACATTAGTCACATTAGATGCAACTCCAAATATTGAAAAGTGGAACTGAGACGCAAACAAGATCAATTAAACGTAACTAAAACCATCATAAAAAATACACACAAATTATACAGAAAAATAAATATAAGGATGCGTACATTTCATAGACACTACCAATTGAGAGAAACCAGCCTGATTTCAGGCAACCATATCATGTAGAAAAGGCTAAAAGCAACCTTGAAAATTGACCAGAACTCAGTGTGTAAAAGGCAAAGTATTAATGTGTACTTCGCAATATGTATTTAATAAATATGAACCATTTTCTTTTTACAGGCCCAGAACAGTACAATAGCATAGATGTACATAGATAACTTTTCTGAATGTTGTTTTCTTCACTTAAATCATAGAGCAGCAATTGAGACAATTTCGAGAGCCATTACGGTACTTCCCTTTTTTGGATAAAACGACAAGCCCCATTGAAAATAAAGACATTGAAGTAAAAGTAAAACATATGGGATAATAACAAGTATAGGCCTACATAAAAAAAAAACATCATCAAAGACTTTCTAAGTGTTGGTCTGAAAGTCGGTAACTGAAAACTCTAAATGATATACATGACTCCATATATGACAATTACTAAAACAAATTCTGCAGCTTTACTTTACATCTCATGAACTGCTGAATATGACTGGAGTGAAAATGAATTACAATAATTATAAAAATATCTTCTGCATCTTCTTGTTTCAGAGCTACTTTACTCTTGGTACAATATGGAAACTAGTTTAAACCTTAAAAAATGGGAAAAGAAAGCATAGTCAAAATATTTATTACACATCCTAGGGATGTTAACAAGCCAAGAACAGGGTTTCCTTCTGTATTTTATCATCATGACTGTACGATGGGAAGTGTAACTGATATATAAAAGCCAAATACACTTCAAAACTGAAGGAGGAAAGAAACTGACATATCGTCACTGTGCTAGCAAAATGGCATAACTCAGAGTTGTGCCAACATTGCAACTTGCCTCTTATTTTGTTTGGTGTTACTATCTATCGTTTGACAAAGTCAAAACTAAAATGAGCTGACGGTCACAAAATAAACATGCACAGCAAGCTTTACCATCATTAAATAGTAAAATGTCCAATTGAACATTTTTTCCCCCCCCCGTTATCTCAAAAGTACCAAAAATGAGTAGAGCCATTTTGCTCGCGCAGGGACGATATGCTGATTCATTCAGATGTTTAAGTTCAAGAACGATAATTCATCACAGCCACAGAGGACTTCTGTGGAATTGTACAGGGAGGAAAATGTATCTGGACAAGAGATCTTACTCCTCCTACCTGACAGGCCTTTATCATGAATTTTAAAAAAAACAAGCAAATAATTCTTTTTTATACAATTCTTATAAAAGTAAGAACAGGTATTACTACAGCAAAGAACCAAGCACTTATTAGCAATATACATCATGTTAATTATTTGAAAAATAAACCTGGAATTCCCAGAGAATCCCGCAAATGTCCTGCTTCAGGCAAGAACATGGCAATGTTTCTTGTCTCTTAAATAAGCATTGTTCTAAACGTTCAACCCTCTCCCCATATACACAAATCAATCTCCCTAAACATACTAGTGCATTCCGAAAGTACACACCTCAGAAAACCCTAATTTCATTCTGCTGCCTTAGCCATTGACAACCCTGGTGTTGAGTACAAAAAAGATAAAGGGTCCCAAAGATAAAATTGTGACCGAAATTGAAAAAAATGTTATGGGTAAGAGATCAGTGAAGATTCGGCTGCAATTTCACTTTGGATAAAGAAAAAATAAACGAGACACATTACAATTTACACTTTAAGAATTCTTACTTGTAATGAATTCTGTCAAATTTCCATTTTTTTAAAATGTGAGCGTTCACATGTTGAAGACTAGAGAGAACAATTTTGCAAAATTTAATGTTCAGTTTTGCACGTGAAAATGAAAAAGTTTTGATAATAGTTTGAGACTAGAGCATTCAATAAGTCTAATGAACAGACCAGGGCCGATAAAGACTCACCTTTGATTTTCAAAAGAATCTCAAAGTTTCTTTAGGACAAATCACAAATAAATACAGCTGTGTCTGGAGCCAGGACAGAATAATCAAAACGCAAAAACATGAAAGAGTGAGGGCTACTGTCCAAGCCTTGAGGTAAGAAAGACACAATGCCAGCACTGATCTTTCTAATTCTAGTCAAGAAACACATGATGAGAAGGTGAAAAGAATCATGTTCACTGCGGTTGTGGAAAATAAAAGGCGTCTTCCAGTTATGAGATATCAAGAGCTATGAACTCTCACGTCCATTTTAAACAATAACGCTCATTGCAAATTGTTGGGCAAGGATTAAACTTAGGTATCAATGTCATGGTTTTTGGAAAAATATTCAGAGGGGGAAAAAATAAAAGAAGAGATTTAAGCACTGGCAACAACTTATTTTAACTTTCAAGAAGAAAAACAGCGATTGATTTTGCTTTGGAACTTCCTTCTTGTTCGTTCAATTTTTATTTCCATTACAAACAGAAGTGGCTAAGCATTCATCCAAGAAATATTATTTCCGCAACTGTTGAGAGGTAAGGCTAAAAACACTATCAACAAGCAAAACTACAGCAAGAGTTACAGAAACAGTGTTAACTTACAGCTGTGCTATACTTGTAGCAAGAAGTATCAAGTGAGTTAACAAGATTTTCGACAGCTTTTCTTTATGTAATATAAAATACTGTTTTTCCAATGAAGACAATTGTGTGCATGCGTTCAACTATTTCAACGTACAATTTCACCTGAGTGCAAAATGTCACCATACCAACACATAAAACGACACATATTCACTAAAATCATAAACTGTAATGATTTACCGTAACTGGCTTTTTCCACTCTCATGTTTGTAATTATCAAAACATGAGATTGTAAATGTCACATAAAGATACAATGTGGGAATGCAATAATTAAAACACAGAGGTTCGACAAACACAGGGTTAACTGGGTACACTTGCCACTCTCAAAAGAATTATATATTGCTTACTCAAAAAAAAAAAAGGGGGGGGGGGGGGGGGGGGGGGGTAAAATGTTTATTATTTCATTCACAAAAGCTGTTCACAGCTGCTACAATTATGATCAGAATTCAAGCAAGACTTCAATTTATTTTTCACTACCCTACCCCTACTTCAAATTTGTGAGCTTCATTTAAAGTGCATACAAGCATGTACTCAAGAAACCACCTCTGCCGTTAGTAAGCTACTAATCGCAATAGCAAGTGCACAATATCTTTGAGTTTATTAATATGCTTTTCAGTGCCATACCTATACACAGAGAAGCAGCAACGAGTCATCACATTAGACATTTATTTGCTGAGAGGTAGGGCCCACACACACAAAAACATTTGAGTGATGTTTTTTTTAGCTTGAGGTCACTGGGGGGACAACAAGACCTATCAGGAACTATGTACACAAGACAAACATCAGGGGAGGTCCGTGTTGTCCTGAAAAATGAGCTTCACATATGGTGTGGATTCTGACAGCGGAGTGGCACAGAACGGGCATATGGTCTGAAATCCATGGGAACCGTGCGGCACGGCAATTCTAGACCAGAACCTGTAAACAAAGCGGAGGGTGGGAACCATTTAATAAGTCTTCAACAAAATTGCAGTTCAGTTAAATAAAACATGTGTGTCCACCAATATTTCATAGCCTTTTCTGCAATAATGTCAACAATAGCTTCTTCACACTACCAACTTTGTCATCTTCGCAGAAACTAACGGAGAACAACTGACACTATAATTTACTTGTGACTAAAGGATTTATAATGATAAATATCACTCCCAATACAAGAACTTAAACTATTTTTGATAAAATAAAAATAGCCCATTCTTAGACACCTTTCTATTCTAATCATGAGGAAAAAGAAAAGATAGAAAAATTAACTTGAAATCACTATTTAGAATAAAGAAGATAGATAATGACATATGGTACATGTTTTGTCTCAGGTATGCCCTGGAACAATTTTTTAAAAAGAAAAACGCTTTCACAAGAACTCAACATATTTCCACAACAATAACCTATTATCAAGTGAATTAGTAGACTCAGACATCCCTAAACCACTCCTCAGCATCTTTACAATCAATGCTTGGTTCAAGTTTTTGCTTTGTACCAAGCAAAACTTGAACTGAGCATTATATTAGCATTAACAAAAAAGACAGATAACTAAAGTTAGATGAGGAAAAAGGAAACGAGGTGTTGAGATTCAAGATATTGAGGTTGCAACGGTAAGTATGTACTAATAACTCATTTAACATGATAAAACGAATAGGACTGGATGGATGAAGATCATATTGCCACTTTAGTTTTTCAAAACAAGTGAGCTTTGGTGATGGCTGTTACAGTAGGCCTACAACAGGAAAATATAAGAGAAATTAATTCTGTACTCACTTTGCTGTACACTCTGATACCATGTGACCGCATGGAGCAAGGCAGTACGTTGGTTGCTCAGAATCCACATACAGGCTCAACTCACATCCCATCTGAAGCTTGATAAAGGCTCCATCCTGAAATAAGTCAGAACACTCAAAGCTATAACAAATCTAACTAGCGACAAAGTTTTGTACCAGCAAGTATAATATGCATAATGCAGCTTATATATGTATAAGTGCCTTTCTAAAAGCAGTTAGCATATCTGGAACGCCTCCTTACCTCTCTCCCTGAAAAACAATATAAATGGAGAATTTGTACCGCATTGGCCGAAATCTACACCTTTGCAACTAATTTGGACACTTTATGTTGCTTCATAAAGCAGGTGTTTTTTCTGGACTTAAGCAGATGAATTTTTCAGAGGAAGTATTTTATCGGTTTATTTTCTCAACATGAAAATTCGACCAAAAAATACCACCACAGATTTTAATTAAGTTTTAAAATGCATTAATGTTCACAGCCTGAAAGTCTGAAATGTTATTCATAGGACATATTCATATATATAAATATATTTATTAAAGTTTTCTTCAGAGGAATTTTCAGTTAAGTTACGTTACAAAAAGCAAACAAACAAAATGATTTTTTAAAAAAGCTAAGAACACAGGCAGACTTACCGTCAGACAAAGTGGGCACTTGCGGATGTTTGCATCTGGCGCAGCCTGGCCCCACTCATGGTTGCCATGGACGTGACCACAAGGCAGGTATACGTAGGGCTGACGGTCTCGCAGGTTGAGCGAGCCTCGGGTGGGTAGAACCAGAGTGTTCAGTCCCACTGGACATTGAGGTCTGCCTGCATTGAGCCGGCCAACCAGTTGCTGGAATTCGTTTTCACTCTGGGTTTTAAAGAAAAATTATGTTTGAAACTTTGGTCTCATCTCTGAAATGCTGAACTGTACTTCATTGTAAATCAGAGGCAATGGCCAATAGTTACGGCCAGACAAGGGCAAGCACAGCGGTAACACCAAGAAAAAGTAGAAGTAGTACAATTATACCAGAAATCCCCCCAAACACTCATTATCTCAAGGAAATTTGCCTGTGTTGAGATTCAACAGAATTAGCAAAAAAATTAGGCCAGTTAGGTCCTAGTTCGAACTGACATTACCTTTCTGAGATGGGTCAACTACAACGAAATCCAAGGGAACTTTACACAACAAGATATGACAAATAGAAACCGCTCTACTTAACATATGCCACTTGTTCCAGGCATTTGTAATTCCATACATTCATTTTCAGGTTAAACAGATGTTTACAAGACAAGAAACGCATGAATTTCTACAAGCCTTTCATTCCCTATGAGACGAATAGTCTAAAAATAATTATTTAGAGTGTGCAACGACGGAATATGGGGACTCCAATCAAAGAACTGGCTTAGTTACTCTTTCTCGATTTGAGACTATAAAAGACACAAAGACTTTCAAAGGATAAGCGATATTCTCTTTTAGTTTTAGTACAGTCCTTGCCGGCTTTAAGCACGGTCATCGGGAGAAAGCTTAAGCGTGCTTAAAGCCGAAGCGTGCTTAAGTGCGAAGTAGACATAATCCAGAGATTTTCATGTAGAACATTTCCCGTTCTATATCCCTTTGTTTGTAAGTAGGTATATAGCGGTCCCGCAAAAGTGTGCACTGTTTTTTTACCCGCCATGGTAGTTTTTGTTTGCTTGTCTGTTGTTTTGTGGTCGAATGGGAAATGAAAACTTAATTTAGACGGCCAGTCATGATACAGCACATTAGGCCTACTCACTGCCTCTGCGTACCACTGCCTGCTGTGCCGCATTCATACCACTACCTTTATCCCCCACGAGGTCTTTGATCCCACCTCGCGCGTGATACACAATCAGGATTAATGGATAGCGAGGGACAAAGGTGAAATCGCAGCCAGCCTCCCTTTCTCGTCTCCCCGACTCTCTTTGAATTTTTTGTTGTCTGTGTGTAGCTTTGCACTAGGCTATATCCTATGTCCATGCGCGCGGCTGTGTGCATCTCTCTGCCTTCCTCTCTGCCCGTTTAAGTGTGTGTCTCCATAATTTGCGTTCTTTGTGTTTCTCTCAACACACTCCACTGCTGCAGTGTAGACTGTGTTCAAACTTCGATGGGTCATCATAAAAGTACTGACTGTCTTGTAAATGAAGCGTGCCTCAAGCCGAAGTTACCGTGCTTAAAGGCGTGTAATTTATATAGCAAAAATTCTGTAAGAGCTGTTTAGCGTGCTTGAGTCCGAAACGTGCTTTATGCCGGCGTGCTTAACACATTACACCCTAAGGGTCTGGACGGGAAGTCCATTGTTAGATCCTAAGCAAGGGGAAAGAACCCACCTCCCGTGAATACTAGCCTTTAAAAAACACATTTTAAAAATACTAAACAAATTCCAAAAATCCTGAAAAAATAAAAGTTAAAAAGAAAACTGAATGTAGTTTCAGAAAAATATAACTTTATGTATGCGTTAACTGTTGGAAATGTTCTAATTTTAGTTCAATCGGGGTGTCCGACCAGTCACTCTGACTCTCAGCCTCGCGGTCGGGCCCTAGGTCTAAATTCTAGATTTTCTCCGTCTGATCAATCGGAATCGCCCCAAACTCTTCCTACAACGTTTTCATCAAAATCTGAGCCATCTGATTTGTCACATGCTCGTTTTTGCTCAAATCCATCGTTATTTCCGTTTTCGAACTCAATTGTGTCGCTTTTCAACAAGTCGAGACACTTTCGAAGTGTCGGTAACGCGATCGCACTTCGATCAGCTCTAATACTAAAACTACTGGCCCGAAAACTTTCGTTTCGGTATCAAACGAAAGAAGAAACTTTTTGCTATACTATGCAAATCAAAACCCTCAATGTCTTTGTCTTCACTGAATTTCATTTAAGAGCACGGCCATGTCAAGACGAAATAGAAAAGAAATATTGCTTAGTGGGTGGTTGGCGGGTGCTCTAATGTGGTTTCCTGCCAAACATCTATCGTCTTTATCTTCGGCACTTATATGACCTTATTGTGTTGCAAGTGCCGTAAAACTCTTACAGTCCGTGCCAGCTTTAACACATTACACCCTAACTCGCCCGGGAATTCCCTTACGCGCTCCACCCTGACTCGCCCGGAACCGCCCGCACCGACCCAGCGTCTTTAGAAACGAAAGTCTCGCCTTGACGAGACTCTGGGGCCGGGGTTTTGATTTGCATAGTATAGCAAAAAGTTTCTTCTTTTGTTTGATACCGAAACGAAAGTTTTCGGGCCAGTAGTTATAGTATTAGAGCTGTAAGAAAAACACAAGGTGAATAGAACTTGCTGTCGAGCGAGGGTGTGCTATACAAAAGCTATTGATTATTAATTATCATTAAGCACTCAGAAGATTTCAAAATATGACTGGATGTTTTCATTAAAATCCTCATGTGTAGGGCAGCTGTGAACAACTGCACAATTTGTTCAACGACATACACAGTCACAAACTTACAGGAGAAGCAATAAGGCCCAGAGCTGATCTCCACACTATTGTAGCTCCACACAGATCTATCAAGGTACCGTCTCTCAGAATGTTGTCTTCTTCTGTCATCTGTAAGTGAACACATAACAGATGCTTTCACACATCCATATATGATTTTTCTAAAAAAAGACACCCTGGACTGTAAAAACTAAAGAAATAAGCAATAACATCAGTGCCTACATATTTAGTATTTCATATACACTGTGTTCTTCCTCAAAACCGTTCTTCAATTACAGGTTACTCATAATTATCATCCGCAGAGAAAATTCACATAGGACCACACCGCTCTCCTAAGAGGAGATATATAAAGTAAACGGAAACTCACAATTCAATTTGAAACACTATGAGGAAAGCCTATTTATCCCAAAGATGGAGAAGAGATAATTTGCTCTCATCCTTGATAATATCTTGTCATTAGAGCAAATGAAATTACTTAGATCATCTAGACATTCCTGTTATAAGGAAAATGCCCATTTCCATTGTTTCTACCACTTTTGCCATAAAATATTCTCTCTATTTACATGCCTGAATGTACACAACCACTAGCCTTCCGTGCACTCAAACACACTTTAATGTAATGTAGCGGTGAAAATATATAGCATTCAACCTAAGGATGCTCAAATTCACAGATTTTTTAGGCCCGAGGGATTAAAAAAGCCACTTATTCAGAAAAAATAAGTTACATGATAGAAGGCAACCACACGCAGAAGCAAAAACAATCACTGCACCTGGTGACTTTTCAGCGGTGAAGGTCGAGAATCTCTGAGAGAGAACAGACCACCTCCCACTGACACCTCCCTCCAGGGACCAGGTTTACCGGCCGGAGAAAATCCACCTTGTGGTTGCATAAGAAACACTCCATTCGTTGTGAGTCCATCTACATTGTCGTCTGAACACCATTTTACTGCTTTTTCCTGATAAAAAAAGAACAATAAATGATGCTTGGTCACATATAATTGCTTACACAATTACAACAAATATAAAATACAGAGAACAGAAAACTAAACATCAGCTAAAACCACCATATACATGTGAGACAAAAACATTACTAAGATTATTTTAATGCAACAACCAGCCTTTAAAATTTTTTATAAATTATACGACAAGGCATGCAAGTTAGAAAATGAAAGGCTTCGTATATCAATTATACTGACACTGGCTTGAAGAAACTAACAGTGTTTCACTCTACCTGGTGAGACTTTAATAGGCATGTCACAGCATGAACTGAACAGGGGAAAAAAACAAACAAGTAGAAATGCTTCTTTTCAAGTATATAGAGACAAGTACAAGGGACAGCGAAAAAAAAGTACAAGAAGATTAGCTGTAACATAATAATATACGACAGAATATCAGGTGACAACCAAAATATTTGATTCATCAAAAGATACAAAAGAAAATATAGCAACAAGGAACTTACTCCTAAAAATATATTTCTGCCAGAGTCAAACCCTGCTGCATATATTCTTGCTGTGTACGGAGGGGATCTGTCGACTATGATGCGGCAAGCAAACCTTGATATTGTGCTCTGGGGTGCGGAGTCGCGTTGATTGCGTAGATGGCCTGGTACCGTGTCCATGACGACAAAATCAATGGGGCCTTCCATTGATCTGCCAACCTGTGTGATTGTGGAAAAATAAAATTCCATAAAGAATAAATTAATAGTGTCATTTAAACATAATGACAATTACTTTTACTCATGTTTAGCAAACATGTATTGAGACTAAGAGCTCCATGCAGTGTATGCACATGTTATCAATTAAAATCTTAAAGGAAGAATTACAATAAATACCAGAGGCTCCAATATTCAAAATAGATACACAGCAATGCAAATCTAGACCAAGAAAACCAAAGCCTTGAAATAAGTTTAAGTAACAATTCTTTTTTAAACCTCAAGAAATGACTAATCTTTGATTCCTTGAGAAAGTGACTGGTAAAGGGGCATTGAACCTGTGCATATCCACGTACATACAAGCAGCAAATGGTGAGCCAGACCCATTTACAAGCTACACAATTATGAAAACAAAAGTTAGCAACTTATATGACAGTAAAAATTAGCAGTGAGAAAATACTCATTAAAGGCAGGGTATCAGTAAAACTAAAACAGAATAATGTACAAATTACGAGGCAGAGGTCATCGCCATTGAAGCAGCAATCCTCCACCTGACCAACATTTTCATTATATATCCAGACAAAATCAAGGACACATATCTTCTCAGACGGAAAATCAGTACTCCTAGCTTTCGAAAACATGAATTTCGAAAGCCCAGCCTGCCTATCTTAGACCTGCATGTGAGCCTCAACCAGATTGTCTGAAAATTTTGCGCAAACCCCCCCTCCCCCCCCAAAGAGCTTTTGTGGGTGTCATAAGGAAGGACTTCCGAGTAACGAGCGACCACCCCAACAAACACAACAAAGAATAGACCTAACCCTACCCCCACCCCTAGGCCTACCCCAAAAAAGAACCTGCAACGAGCCTCATGTGAAAAGGCCAGCACAAGTCCAAAATAAAAAACATTTTTAAAATTAAAAAACCACACTCCAAAACAAACAAGGCTTACAAGGAGCATAATACAATGGCCTACATCTACATATTGCTAGATCTATAAGTCTATAATAATAGGGTTTGATACAATAACACAATAGAATTGGAATATGAGTCCTCCATATAGATCTAGTAAACTAAATAAATCTAGATCTAGATCTAGAAAAACAAGTGAATAGGATCTAGGAATAGGCCTTGAACTAGAAATCCGCATCCGATTCCAAACAGAGGGGCTCAGCTGAGTCTAGATTCTAAATAAATAAATAATTCACGCACCTGATGAAATGCCTTTTACCAACATTAATATTACAGCACAACCTTTGATAGGGTTTGACAAAATAAAATTGGAATATGAATCCTCCATTGAGGTCTTTAATGATCTATATAAATCTAGATCTAGATCTAGATTCTATTATCTAAGTGAGTCGGACTGGAATGAATCCACACGATCTGAACAATTGAATTTGTCAACAAAACGAAATTCAAAATGGCCGCTCGAGGACGAAACTGAAAGTAGATAATTTAGGTCGTCGTCTTTTTTCGTATTCGCATTTCTACTCGGGTTCCGACAATTATGTCGGAAACGCCGACGTCGGCAGTCGGCGGTGCGCGCGTCGGCGGTCGGCACGAAAACGAAAGTGCCGACAAAGCCGACGGGAGAAAAGGGGGACGCTGGCAGTCGGCCAGGCCTTGCACTATGCACATTGACTGATACAGGTGGGCCTAGCGATAGCATCGGCCGCCTCGCGGGTCGCGTCGCGATTGTCGGATTTCAGACGATTGTCGGCAAACATGCAGGTCTACTATCTGTGGCTCTAACAATTAACACCTTCATGCAGACCTATGCCATCGACCTGACGTTACAGTGGATACCTGGCCACTGCAACATCCCAGGGAATGACAGAGCAGACACCCTTGCCAAGAAGGGAGCATCACAAACACAACCCCAAAACCCAGTATCACAACAGACAGTCAAGAACATCATTAAATGCAACACAACGGAACAGTGGCTGCATGAATGGGCAATGGGCAAAACGGGAAAAACTGTATTTGCACACATGACTGCTCTGAATTCAAAAGACGGACTAAATTCCGTGAGTAGAAGAGAACAAGTCAGTATCTTTCGCCTGTGAACACAACACATCCCACTGAATTCCACCCGACAGCCCGTTGTCTGACTGCCAGGATGAAACAGTATCACACCACCTCTTTACCTGCCCTCCACTTAGCGACCTGTGTAGTACCTAACTACCTGCCTCCCCAGACATCCGAAATACTTTATACAACGACAAAACGCAGCTGATGTTGTTGTTGTTGTCGTTTTCAAATCACTTTAGCTGCGAGCATTTCGCTCTTGGCAGCGCAATGCTTCCCTCAAGTAACCACATGTCCTTGTCATCTGGTCAACGCCAGAGTAGAACAGGCTTTGTAAGCCTGTAGGTGTGTGTAGGAGCTTGCACCGAAGAACTGCCAGGTTTGGGCAGTGAAGGAGAAGATGTTCAACGGTCTCCTCCTGGTAGTCACTGTCTGCAATGGGGTTCCCACATGGGATTAATTCTGTTTATGTGCTTGTTGGTGTGTAAGTGTCCTGTGTGGGCTCTGAAGATCAAAGTCTGATCGACTCTACATAAAAGATTCGAAGGGTCTTTGGGGTTGGGTTTGTCCATGTACCCAAAGAGAGATCTTCCTGTTTCTGCGTTGGCCCATCTGATAAGCCACTCGTCTCTGCTTTTGGTTTGGATGATCCCTCTGCAGGTCTATAAAGAGGCGGTTGTGTCTGTCTGGGGCAGGCTTGCTCCAGTTTTTGATAGCTGGTCTGCAGTCTCACTCCCTGGTACTCCAGAATGGCCAGGCACCCACTGCAGTGTGACCCGGATGCTATAGGAAGTGCCCATCTGTTTTACAAGGCTGAGAATCTTCCCGTCCTCTCTGTAGTCGCCTCCTCCCTCGACGGCTTGGAGTACTGACAGTCAGAGAAGACAACAACATCCCCTGGTGTTATTGCGCCTTCAAGAAAGTCTTGGGTGATCTGCTCCAGGGTCTTTACTATGGCAACTCTCTCTGCATCATAGTTGGAGCTGTATGTTCCACATGGGCCAAATAGTCGGGTCTGCTTCTTCTCTCCATGGTTCTTTCGATATTTGATGATGGATCCATATCCAGCATTCCCTGTAGCGTTTGTTGCTGACCCATCTGTGTATGCATGAATAAGAGTTTCAGCATACGAGTCCACTGTCTCCAGGGCACTAGTTCTGAGGATTTCTTCTGGTGTGGTCTTGTCACTTGAGCTCTGTAGAGAGGGTCAACCGCTCTTCTAGGTTTTTGATTGGTACAAGAATCTAATCACTCGTCAAACGCAGCTGATAAAAACCTGTAAATTCTTTGCCACATCAACAGGCTGAAGGGCTAGAACTCAAATGGCTGCTGAACCGGAAAAGTAAAAATGTAAAGTAAAGTAAAACAGAATAATTAAGAAGTACATTTTTTTAATACAAATTTCTTTTCAAAACAATTCTGCTTTCTGTTCCTTTACACAGAGCCAATAATGCTAAACCAGCACAAGGTCACAACAAACGAAACAGTACCTGAAACATATCTGTGTCTTCATCCCTCAGGTATTCCACAATGATGGCTTTGTTGCGGGACAGTGTATACGACACTGAATGTTTGGACTGGTCTTGAACAGCCTATTAAGATAAGATAAGATAATACTTTATTGTCCCAGAGGGAAATTTTTCTTGGTCGTATGGGAATTATAAAAAACATATGCAGGTATACATTGAATATATATTATGTATTACTTTCATTTACATTTTATATATTGCAGGGAGATGAAAAAAAGAATCCACTAATAAAAGACTTAACACTAAACAATCATCTACAAAATTAAACATTTAGATACAAAGGCTTGAATAGAAGAACAATAAAGATCCGGTCATACAAAACATATTCCTTTTTCATATTAACCAAATATTTTTAACCTATATACATAGATAATCTAGCATTTACAACATAAAAGCTTATGGATAGTACCAGATATCAACTGTTTTAGTCTAAGTTCGAGTTTTGTGGCACTTGCAATACAATAAGGTCATATAAGTGAAGAAAATAAGTGTTTTTACAAGAGGGTAACAAACATAAAAAAGAAGGAGAGATAAAGGACAATACATGTTTGATAGAAAAGAAGGAGCAAACCATGCCAGAGCACCCGCCAACCAACTACCTGGATATCTACAGTAAAATTTTAAAAAAGAACTTTGACAAAATACAAGAGACACAATGGTCAAATCTTTTAAGTTTCCTCTGGATGAGTTGGAAGTTCAATAGAAGCACACTGACCACTGAAACAGTAGTGATTTCAAGCTGGGAAAATGCAACACAAACATTTTTTTTAAAAATTCACCGAAAATAAAAAATGGCCATCAGGGGACATGCTACAACCGTCCTTGCCCCCGAACATAAACCAGGAATTTTTAAAATGAAAAACATATAACTGATACCCACATTTACCTCGCATGAAAATGTTCCATTATATTCGAAATGAATATCTTGATATCTTGATACTAGTTATTTTGCTCATTTAAGCTAACACTATTCTCAGCCAACTATGAAATTACCCAAAATCATTGGCTCAGGAAAAGCATGACATGGTCAGAAAACCACTAAACAGACAGGAGATCAGCACACACATTCTGTTGACACACATTAACACAAAAGTCAAATAAAGAAGGCGGGCGAAACCAGTGAATAAACAGAGGCAAAGCCTTTGTTTACCTTTGAGGACTGAGGGTTAGTGACCAGGTGTTTCTGTGATGGCTTGACACCATTTGCCTTCGCTCTTTTCCAAAGAATGTACTTGCTTCTTCTCCTCCCCTTGTCCCCAGCCACAAGATGTCCATTGTAGCTGAGAAAATATCGCAATTGAAAAGTATATAAATGTATGCATTCATTTAAACTAAAGATATGCATGGAAACACAATGTCATAATCATATAGCCGTAGCAAAATGCAGCTTATGACAGACAGAGTAATCATCAGAAAGATGAAAAGGAGGAGGACCATCAAAGGTTAACAAAAAGAATAAAAATGCTTTAAAAGATAAATAAACTGTGTTTTAAAAGTCTAAAAATAGACGCCTTAGTATCAAATGGTACAATGACACTCTTACAATGAAGAAAGTGTGCTCGGCTACTCTAGTTTTTAAAAATATTAAAAATAAGCAAGGCAAAAGAAATCTTTCTGAATATAAAAAGTAAATAAAATGTGGATGAACAATTTCACTAGAGGTAAGCACATCCATAGCATCTAAATCATGATTTGAAAATGCTTTCTCAGAGAGCATGTAAACACAGAACTGTATTTCATGCATGAATTGATGTATTGTTTGCCCATTAAAAGAATCTTTCTAACAATGTCACTGATATGAGCAGTTGTTTGCATTATTTTCACATCATAAAACAAACAGCTGGGTCGAAAACGCATAAAAGACTGAAAAAGGCAACTGAAGATCAGCAAACCGAAACTGCAAAAATTTTCTCCTTAAGCAGTTGGAAAGACGCAGAGTAGCAAAGCCAGATGATTTTTTCAAAATGATTATTTTGCTCTAAAGATTGATTAATGTGATACGTACATCAGATTAGTTTTTTCTTTTAAATCAATTTCGAAAATCAGATAATAAATAACTTTTTTGATGAGGCACTTTTTTTGGTTTAAAGAAGCAGCTTTTTTAAAATACGGATTTCCGCATAGAAATATTGGGCAAGGGTATGATATGGACTGGTTTCTGTGGTACTCTAGTGCACACAGTTTGACTAAGACAGCTCAATGAAAGACAAAACACAAATTAATTTGCTGTATAAAATGTACTTACCCTAAAACCACCAATTCTCCATATTTAATATTTTCAGCAGATTCTGCTGACTGGATAGAAGAATCTGCTGACATCTTTACATGGCTTTGTGATAAGACAAAGCCGTTACCTGTCAGAGAGAAACAAATTGTATGAAATTGTGAACAGAAGCAGAAAGCAGCCTTAAAAGTGCTGTGTGGATAAGACCAGTCCTTTCTATAGTAGACTATTTTACTGTTCTATAATATAAACTTATTCTATAAAAGCTAAAAAGATGTCAGGAAAGAGACAGTGTTGAGGATACACTCATAACTTGACTTTCACCCTGATTTAACGAAAGTAGTGAAACAGCATTGGTGCAGATAAGAGGTTCATTAAGATAAAAATGTGTATCAAACCTAAAAATGTACAGTTTTTGATAACAAAATGTAGACACAACGCTTGCAAAATTGATTGTCATCAACGAAAGCCAAAGAGGCAAGCTAAGTGAGACTCTTTGAAAGAAATTCTTTTTTATATATAAAAATTTATATATTCTTTCAAGACGCCATTTTTTTTCTAAATGGTATGACAAATTACACATTTTAGCCTTGTGGGGTAACTGGAAATGAGAGATGCTGAGAGAAAAAAAAAGGAATTTGAAACCAAGATCTCAGGATCAGCGATTCCTGTCTACAAATGCTGGCCCATCCATGAACCACCTCAGAAGTAAAATATAGTAATAGAGGGTCCTGAGCAACATTTCCAGTTTGTTAAGATCAAATCACTGGTGAGACACAACAAAATTAATCATTTCACCAAGATAGATGAAAATTTAGGTAAAAGCATCACTTTAAC